CCCCTCCTGGCCCCACTAACACCTCTTCCAGCAGCAACCTTAGTTTTTCCCAGGAGGTCTCCCATCCAGGTACTGACCAGGCTCACACCTGCGGAGCTTCAGTGGGCTGCCAGTTGTGAGTTGCAGGGTGATATGGCTGTTGGCTGTAGTTCTGCTGTAGTATGTAGTTCAAGTAGGTAGCTGCCTCAGCATGCATAGGCTGCAAAGGAACAAGTAAAGGTTTATTCCATGCTGAAAAGAGAAGAGAAGCACAATGTTTAGGCTGTAGAGCCTTCTTCCATACAGCTGTACACAGAAGAGGTAGAATATAAGAACAAAAATAATAAGCACAAATGTGGGTCATTATACTGGTAGAAAGTAAGGGTGTGTGAATAATTGAACTTAAAGAGGTTAAAATTATAAATAAGAAAGATCAAGTCCTGATACCAGCTTCCTTTGAAAGCAAAATATAAAAATAATTACTGCAAAAGAATAACCACACACACCGTATTGTCAGGAAAAATGAGCTGAATATTTTCAGCTGTGCGTTTCCACTCTTCTCTGGCACAGTGTAGCTGCAAGACAAACATTTACATAATTGCAGGCATGCAATAATATTAACAAACATTGGAGTTTCAGGGATATTTCGTCTGCAGAAAGCAATAGAAACATTTTACTGGATGGACAAGTATTGTACAGGGAAAAGAGGGAACTTATTCCTTAAAAGTTCTTTTCAGGATTCAATTATTCCTTTAAATGAATGCTTAAAAAGTGGGATCCTTTGTAATATGCATCATTAAGTCAATATATACAGTAAGTCAACAGTCCCTTACATAAATCCTGGTGTTGGTCTCTTCAGTGCTCAGATGACCTGTACGTTCTGTACTCTGGTCTGTAAAGGAGATGATAGTCTATGGTTCTGAATCTCCTCCAATTTCTCTCTCTTCTATCTTACCTTCTCTACTCTCAGAAGGCTGGCTTAACAGTCTCATGAAAATGATGCAGTCAGTCTTAAATATTAGTGAAATTGCTTGGCCAGCTGGACGTTTGACTGTCGCCCATGACAAGAAAAGGTACAGCTGAATGAAGTCTCAAAAAATGCCCATTCTTACCTTCAAGAATAAGGTATGGTGGGAGGTGAAATTTAAGCATGTTGATACTCCCAATACAATGCAACAACATTTCTAGTACGTTTTCTTGACTAAGTCCACTTGAAACACAGAGATATTGGTCATGTCTGTGTTTTTGGAGATTGTCTGGGTCTGTATGATACTGTGCTTTTCCCAGCTTTGTGGAAGACAAAACAGATTTTAGAACAATAACATTGGATCAATATCCAATACAATATTAGGGAAAAGGTGAGGATTAAAAGAGAACCTTGGAAATATCCCATTCTTAAGCTCAGGAGCACAAAGAGCAACTTTGGGAATTAAATGGAGCCGCAGCTTGACAAATGGAACTGTTGCAAAATTATTTTGTTTTTTTAAATTGCTCAGTAACATTGTTGGTAGCTGAGGTATACAGTATATAGAATATAACAAACTCTCAGAGGGAGGGAAAAACTGCAATATAGTGCAGGGTATGCCACAAATGTCCTTTTCTAATGAAGGGGGTAAAACTCTCTTATAATGCATTATTAACATTAATACCAGAGTTAGAAGGCAGAATATTGCAACACTAAATGAAACAACACGGATCAGGAAATATTCTCCCATAAGATAGTAGAGTAATTAAGAGGGGTCAGGAACCATAAAGATATAATTTATGCAAATGGCACCCTTACAGGGGATGATTTTCACATAATGTATAATAGAAATATAGCAAGGATTTGTTCTTGAACTTAAACATGTACTGTGTTGTCAATAATACAGTTTGTTTGAATTATAGTACATTCAGTAAAGTGCATTAATCCATTGAAACCATCACTTAAGTTACTGTAAATATGAAATTGTTTTTATAAGAATTGTCCCTTACCCCTTGAACAGCACAGAGACGTTAATAAAGGTATTTTAGCACTATGTATATGTTATCATTGACACATCCATATTAATTATGAAACATAAGAAAGGAACTTGACATTTAAAACAATAATGCAGACATTAACTGCATGCTCACCTTTTCAATTTCTCTTTATGATAGCCAGTTTTATATCAATACCACTTCTAAGATGCTTTTCCTTGCTTTAAGCAAGAGCAGTGCCCCTATCACTTGCACTTCTCTTTCCACTCGTGATTTTAAGAACTGCAAGGTATTTCGAAATGGACACGTAGACAATGGGGATAAAGAACACAAACGCACCCCAGGAAGTAAGAGGACCCAGAAGCGTCTCTCGGGAGGCTGGGTATCATTGTGACGTGGCTAAGATGGTGGCGTGTGACGCAAAACTCAAACTTACTTGCCTGCATTCTGGGCAGGAACTCTGTTAAGGACATAGGGGAGTGTCAGCATTGCTATGTGGGGTGTACCTCCATTTAGGAATAAAGTCAGTGCAAAGTAACATTGAATGGGTGGATGTTAATGGGAACACCCTGTAGTCCTAATAATATGCCATTAGAATATTTATATTGAGAGCCTGGAACATGTGTCATGCTCAGAATTCAGCCCAGTTTTAACGAACCCGCTGTAAATTCAACATAGTTTAGCTCTTGAATGATTTAGCAGGTCACTGATATGCACCTCTGGTCCTGGGGGGTCAGCCATGTCTTCTGCGATCATTCCACCCTCGAGTCTTAATGAATTTGAATCAATTGGTCACTTAATTGATCTGTACTGCCACTGTTTCCATTTCTTTCACCAGGGATCACAATTAAGCTTTAAAACATGGAGCACTGAAAACAGGCATGCCCGTGACTGTAGAACTGATAACGATGTCTACTCTCACCCAAGGAAATCCCATCATTGCATAAGCCAGCTGGTGATTAACTCATGTTCGGTGCCAGGGGCACAGTTGTTTGTATCTTTTCTGTGTGTCTTTGCAGAGATGCAGGCATAAGTATTGGTTTCATACATTTTAAATGCGTTTATTCACTGTTAAACATCTCACATAGCTCCTTGCAATGTACAAAAGTGTTTGATAAACACTGAAGTATCCTTGACAAAAAAATACAGCATCAGGTCCCGTTTTTGCATACTTATACAGTATCATGTCCTGTTTTTGCATGCTTGAGCTGCTTTCAAGAAAGGCCCCTTTGTCAGTTTCCCCAACATTAAATGCTCTTAGGCAGCTCAATGAAATCATTTTCATCTTTTCTTTCTTTTTTTATGAAGGCCTGTGTTTAGGCTAGTGTGGCAAAGTTCTGTTATTTTACCCCTTCTGCAAAATACAGAAAAAACACCGACCTGTTAGACAAATAAGACAAAAAGTGGCTTATTGGAGAATTAACCTGTAGTCAGTACTGAAAGTCAAAATAAAGACCAGTTGTTTGTATCTCTTCTAAAATTGTATTCAGCAAAACACTCCCATTAAATCTGAGGGATGCAGTATGTACAGGTGTAACTCCTTTGATGATGAACATGTGGCCTAGCTGTAAAATACATTTTGGAATGAATGAACAAAATAATAAGCATGGCTAACCATGATGCTACAATCTGTGTAATGAATTTTATTTGCCCTTTTCAAAACTCAGTTATCTTCAGTACAGTATGTCTAACAATGGTGAACAAGCATTGGTTTCAAAGCAAGTGGATTATTCCAGACCTAGAACCCCAAGTGTGTTTTGCACAAGCAAAGAGCATGCCCATCATACCTCCTTGACTCCAAAACGTCATACAATTTCATGGGGATAATTATGTTAACAAGAACAAACAGGTGCAAGACTTACTGAAGTGAAAACACTCATGTAATATTCGGCTAATTGGCATATTTAGAAAAGAAACACCCCTCTCAATTTGTGAGATTATATGCGTTTGGATGTCCTAATTTAAAAATCTAATGATTTAGTGCTTTGAAAAATGGCAACCGAAGTGAACTGATAGTTCAAGTGTGAGGAGGCCCCATATTTCTCATTTGGAAGTTGAGCACTGTAAGTGAATTTGAAATTTCATTATGCCAAGTCTTGAAAGAGCTGCGTTTGGGCCTAAATAGCCTAGCTAGAAAGCCCACAAACCTTTATGTAAATATGCATTTCCTATTTAGCTTAACTCCCTTTCAGAAAATGTTTAGGATTTCATGTGCTTGGATGAAATTGCTCAATTTCCTGTGTCCTAGACCGAAGAACCTGTCTGTATATGCCAATGTACTGTAGAGTATCTTATCTTCTCTCTCAGGAGGAAAGCAAGGATCTGGTTGCTTGGAAACTGCTTTTGCGGTTTGAAACTCAAGTTAATCCCTTTTGTTTTTCTCTTTATAAAGCAAAAACCAATGGATACTTCGTAGGAAGTGAAACCAGAGTTGTATTCCCTCCAGCGCACAAAACAAAACACCTGGAGCAAAGAATAAACAAGCCTCCGTAATACCATGTTATGTCTGATTTGGGCGATAGTGCTTCAGGTTTCCAAAGCCCAGCCTCTGTAAAGCAATCCACTGTAGTAATTCAAATACAAGAACTTGAACTTGAACTTGAACTTTATTGCCATATGTAACAGGAACTAGTACAATGGAATTCTTACTTACAGAAAGTCTCTCAATTGTAAAACAAGTGTAAAAAACAAGACAAAGTGCAAACAGTGCATCAAGACAATGTACAAACAATAGACAATGTGCAAGTAAACATGTAGACAGTTTGAATGTAAACAATACAGACGTGTAAACAATGACTGGAGATGTGCAATAGATAAGAAATCATAAAGAGGTAGATGGTGATGGTGATGGTGTAGGTGTGGTCCGAGGGGGATGGCTAAATGTGTTTACTGTATGTCCAGCTTGTCTGGGTTGGATGTTTTCTGCATGTTTTGCACTAAGTGGGTATTGATCTGTCCTACCAACCTGCAAGGTGTGGTGAGGAAACTCCCATTGATATGGCAGGAGAAGTCAGGGTAGAGTCCACAGTATCCATCTCCATCGCCACAGTCCCTTCATGATCATTTCATGGCTGGTGCTCATTCTGTCAACTGTGGGCTGTAGGGCGGTCTAGTGGTGCAGACTGTGCCTTGACTTGCCACGCTCCCAAAAGGGGAGCTCAACAAGGGCGTCTTACAGGCAGCATTCTGGTGCAAACAGTTTTGGTATCAGAAAGAGCAGCTTGCCTATTAATGGCCGTCACTCAGCGCGCCAGATCCTAGGGCCTAAATGACAGCTCGGGACTTAGGAATGTTAAACGATCATATGTTTACACCATAATTATGACTGTGCTGTGTTTCTGTCATGCTTGCAGAATGCATTTAGACAATTTCCCCTTTTCATTCAGGCTGTTTAAACAGCTGCTGGCCAGAAATCACCCACACCAATGTCACAGAACACACTGTATGGGTGTAACACGCTGCATGTAGCCTGAACTGAGATTGGGTGTCTTCGTTTCTCAGCCATCCTCTCTTATGTCCTAAATCATCCCAACATGCACAAACAGATTCTCTACATTCACTGTGGAAATATGGCCAGTGAAAATGTTGAAGTAAAGTGGTTTGGCCAACTCTGCCGAAATAAACATGAATAGTAAAGGAGAAAAGCACAAAAGGACCAACTGCTTTTACTTTGGTCAATGTTCTTACAAGATGCCATCCTCATTTACAAAACCTAGAAGCATAACAAGCTACAGTATATTCCTTACTGGCTTAAGAAAATAAAACAGATGCCTGGCTTTGGCGTAAAAGTTTGAAGTTTCCATTTTGGTAACACTAGCACTAGTAGCTTGTGCTTTGAATCCTGCACTGTCCTTTTATTATGAACCATATTTTCATTTAAATTCCTGGGCGTGTGGGCACCTGAGTAATACTAAGTGCTGCTCTTCACCACACTCCTTAAATGTCAACAGGCAAGATCATGTGCTGTGATCTTATTTCTTTTAATTTGCATTTATAGCCCAAGTGTGTTTGCATGGCTGAGTATGGGTGTGACAGGAAAAAAGTCAGAGAGAGAAAACTCAATGTAGACAGGTAGTTAGCTAAGTTACACCCAATTTAATTTGGGTGTTAAATGTCAAACAGTTGTCATTTTTAAATTAAATATTAGCTAAATCTCACACATTGGTGGTGGTGGTGTTGGAGGGGATCCCCATTACCTGTAAAGCGCTTTGAGTGGAGTGTCCAGAAAAGCGCTATGTAAGTGTAAGCAATTATTAATTATTATTACAACTGATAACACTGATCTATAACAAATCTAAAGCGGGTTTTCCCTACCCAAGCTGTAGAGTATCTCCTTGCTTTCTAGGTTTTGTTCAAACCAAGATCTGTTAGAGTCGAATTATTCTCGGCTCACAGCCAGAACGCCCACCACAGCAAAGGGGGCGTGGTATCGTGGGAGTGGGCGGAGCCGCGGCGAGCACCGCTAAAAAAAAGTCAACGGCTCCAACTGAGGGACGGAAGGACCCGTATGAGATTAACAATAATCGGAAATAAAAAAAAGTGCAAAAAAGAAAAGTACGCGACATTCAGCCTATGCTTACCCTATTTAACGGGCTCCAGCCTCGGAAAAAGAAACCGCTAAGCGCTAGTACAATCCCCTCCAGAACTGACGGTAAATATTCCCCCCCTTCTGGCGCTGTCCAGTGTGCTTTTAAAGAGCACCAGAACAGCTGTGGCTACAAAGGCAACGCGTCGCCCTTCATCCAGGGCTCCGCCTCCACACTGAACACGCCCCCGCGTAACGCCACAGGGGGCAATGAGAAATTATAGAGCAGACTCCCCCCAAATAGAACTGGGCAAGTGCGTCTGTGCAAGACACTTGTCAGTGCTTTTTGTGGAGCCACTATTTGTCTTCTCACAGCTCTCTTGATACTTTTTTTTTTACTACATTTTGTTGTTCAGCCTGCATTTATATATTTTTATGCTAAAGCACAAGCTGCAGTAGTATTCCAGAATTCAGTGCCCTATCTTGAAGAGCCCCTGAATTTGTTAGATTGCATGAGAAATCAATTAAAACAGGTTTCACGTTCCAGAAAGTGGTGAGATGCCTTTACACTATCCAGTCATTAACAAAACATGAAACAGGCTGTGAACCTGAGATAAGCTTGATTTAGCTTGTAAAAGTGTTCTTTTGTATTTTTGGCAAATGCAATTGAGTGAGGTTCAGAAGTGCTCTTTGGACCTACCAGCTATCTTAACTAGCAGTCTCCAAGGAACTATTACAGAGCTGTTTTTTAGATAATATAAAATAGGTATGACATCATATTTGGTAACTGTTGCAAGAGTTTAATTTCTTTACAACAATGGAGCATCTGAAATGTGATGTCAACAGAACTCGCTGAAACTATCTTGTGTGCTTATTAGAGAATTGTGATATAGCAAGTTATAAATGAAGTACAACATCTGACACAGGCATTGAACAGAAATCATTTTGACAAATGTTTGAAGAAACCTGTAAAAATGTTGTTTTTGTTCTAATTAAAATTGCATCTCTCCTAGTTAAATAGACCCGTCTGTCAGATTGATCATTGTCTTTCATGCCATTTACAGCATAGTAAATATTGTACCTCGTCCTTTTCTCACTGTTTTTAGGCTCCGGGAATCACTTTCTACAACCATTGTAACAACTAGAATAATGAAGGCAACTATAAATAATAATAGTTTTGTGTCTTTTTTTCTTAGAATCAGCTGATTCACCAGTTCAGGGAATATGCTGCAACCACCAAAAACCAAGGGCCTCCTGTTTATATTGCTACCTCTCATGGTGCCTATTGCTTTTACATGTAATGGTGTAGAGCTATAGATCGCTACACAAGCAACAATGCCCGCACATCCAGGTGGCTCCCTCCTCAATGAGCTTTTACAGACCTACGACTTGCAAGCAGCTTGTTCCCTGTGTGCCAAGAGGGAAAATGAAATCACTTACTCCTTCAATAAAGTGCACCATCAGTGCAATGGGGATGTGCTTCTGGTCAGACGGAAAGGTTCCGGGTGGTGGAGACCAGTGTCCCGCCGACCTCATTTCGTGAATCCAAGCAAGTATGAAGTGTGCCGCTATTTCGTGGAGGGATCAGGCTGCAGGCACCACAAGAACCGCTGTACTTTCGCGAGAAGTCAAGAGGAGGCAGCGGTGTGGAACTTTCAGAAACGGCGCCAAGTTGATCAGAGCTCTCTGATGCGGTTGGTCAAGGAGACGAAGATGACCGCCATCGAAAGAGCCATCGTCCCGACACCAAGCGTGGCAGAGGGCATCCTGTCTGAGTTCTCGGGGGAGTTCAAGGAGCTTTGCCAAACCTGCTTCTACAGCAAACCCCAAACAGTTGCTCCCAAAAGGTGGAACAACACCTGCTCGTCCCCAGCGGCCCACAAATGGACACCCCTCTTGGTCCACCTCCAGGTGGAAGGGTGGAATAAGAAAGTGTATAATGAGATACGCCACCATCCTCCTCACCGCACCCTGCGGTACTGCCCGCACATCACCCAGGGTTCGCCATGTTGGCACGGGTCTCTGCGCTGCTCGTATGCTCACAGCGAGGTGGAGATGGCCGTGTGGAAGGCAGAGATTGCTGGGCAGCTGAATCGCAAAGATCTGGTCCAGCTGTCCCAGAGGAGACAGGCCATAGCCCCAGACCCGACCCCAGCGCCTCCGCCGGTTCAGATCTACTGTAAGGTTTGCCTGTTGACTTTTTCCTCACAAGAAAGCTTCATAAACCACTGTTCGTCTCTAGAGCATACTCAGATGATCAGTGAGGACACCACCACGGAGTGGAAATACCGTTCCCCACCCCATCAGCGCAAACAAGAGTTTGTGCTCTGTGACAGGTAAAGGAGTTACATAGCAGTGCCCTATGTGTACACTAGTCCTTAGTGGTGATCAGTGCCTTCAACTCTTTTCGTAATACACAGGAATGCATTGCACCAAGCAAATAGGATTATTTGTGAGCAATAGGAAACCGGTTGCGATTGCGGTTTTTGGTTTGTATTAGCTGCAGACTGGGCCAACATTAAGATTAAACTTTGCCCTTACTCTTAGTGGCAAATTACATACCCAGGACTTGAAGATGATTATTTGTGTTCCATAGAGTTGTTCATTCTTCCCAGGTGATTTATCCTAGCTCCTAATTTGGTTTTATTCGATATAGGTAGATGTGTATATACAGTACTTGTTTTACTCCAATGTGTCTGAGTATTATTATTTATTCAATAACATCTAAGAGAGAGATGGAGCTGGAGAAACTGAGGAGCTTCTTTTGAGATTATTTTTATAATACGCCACTCTGCATTATGTACAGTACATATGTATATATCCATTATGTTTAAAAAGGCATATTGCCATACATGCGTGTCATGAAGCAATTGAACCACTCAACCAAAAGCAACACTGGGTCCCACTGCTGGCACAGTGGAACAACACCAGCTGTGCCGAGCGGTATAAAAAAAAGGCCAAACCTCCCACAAGATTAAATTGTTTCAGAGCAAGGCCTGCTGGGATTGAGAATCTTGCCATCTTTTCCTCCTCAGGCCCGACACCTGTGAATACGGTGACAGCTGTGTGTATGCGCACTCAGTGGAGGAGAGGGAGGAGTGGTTTATGCGGACCAAGGAGGCCCGAGAGAAAAGGAGAACTTTGGAAGAGCAGGGCTTGCTCTCATACCAGGACCTCCTGCTGAAGGAGTACAGGAGCAGCAGCAACGAAGTGCACATTGTGAGTCCCAGTCTTGCCAAGTTCAAAAGATTTGCAAAGATTGCAAGCGTGGTGGATTCTGTACCTGTGCAGCCGTGTCCAGTTGGTAGAATTCCATGCGGTAGACCTACCTTTTTCTTCTTTTCAAAGGGCAACAGGATGTTTGCTACTTTCTGTGTCCACATCATATCTGATATTTGGGAGTGAAAATGTATTTTTCAAGATAAAGGGAAGGAATCACAGAAATACAAAGGCATGGTCCCTTGGTACCTGAGGGCCCACTCTGTGGTATTATTATTCCCATTGCAAAAACTTCCAGGCCAAGTGAGCTTAACAGCTTCTGGCCAGTTACTCTGACATCTGTCCCAGAGAAAAGTCTGGAGTGGATAGAGCAACACATCTCAAAGAGCACAGAGAACCTCACTGACCCCTGTAGTTGGCCAGCAGAGAACAGAGGGGAGTAGATGATGCAGTACTTGCATTGTTAAACCTGGTCTGTCAGCAGCTTGACCAAGCATGGGCATTGGTAAGATCTCGTTTGTTGATTTTTCCATCAGCTTTCAATGCAATACAACCACTGTTACTAGCTCAGAAACTCTCAAAGAACTTCAAATGAAACGTAACTTGGTAAGATGGATTCTAAACTTAACAAATAGATCTCCACAGATCAAAATGAAGCAATGGTTATCTGATATACACTAAACTTCTACTGGATTAGCTGAAGGCTGTGTCTTGTTGCCTCTATAAATTACATTTTGTACACTGACGAATGAGAACATACGTCCACACAGACAGACATCTCATTACATCTGCTGACACAGCCCTGGTGAACATATGAAAAACTCAGAAAATCATCACAGACCAATGCTAAATTATTTTATTGGTGTGATGAATAAAATATGGATAATGCTGAAAGGGTATATCTTTTCTAGATTTCAGTCACATTAAATACTTCAAGTTCCAGTGTTATGGAATTACCTTCCTCTGACTCTATGAGAGACAATTCTAACTTCTTCAAATCCAAACTCATCACTCACCTTTTTACCAGGGCCTATATCTGATTGCCCTATGTTCTATTTGTATAAACCTATATGCTCTTATTATTTTTTCTTTTATTTCTTGTACTTTTTTGTGTTTTCTTTATTACCATGTGTGCCGGGTTTGGAAAACCTCATTCGTAATAAAAGTTATTATTATTCATCCCATTAAAAAACAGTATTATACAAAACGGAGTACATTCCGATGGCCATAACTTAATTTGCTTTTGCAGATGTCTGACCAGGTGGATGATGTCCACATTACGTGTGACAAGGAACTGAGTCTTTCATGTGAACGGGCAGACACAGAGCTCAAATGGAAATTTCATCTTAGAACTGAGGTGAGACAACATTTCTTAATCAAACAAGCTTTCAGAATCCTTCACTGGGAGTGATATATGAAACGTCCCTACAGGATATCTTATTTCGAAGTAGTGCATGAAGAAGTTAAATCCTGTGTGGTTGGTGTCACGAACAGTTCTTTTCGAACCCTATGCAGACGACACAATCCGGAATAGTGAGGAAACAGTGGGGGAAAAGTCATGCAGGAGACGGGAATGGAGACAGGGGGCATGTCCTTGGTGTGCAGGTGTCCAAGGGGACTGAGTCCGGGGTGAACAATCCAAGAGGAAGTCCAAACGGGGAATCCAAAACACAAGCATAAGTCCAGTGCCAGGCGATCCATCCAGGAGATTAAAAACAGGAACCGGCGGGGGGAACAGAAACAGAAAGTTAAAATCATAACGGAGCAAGACGCAGCAGGACCCGGGCTCACATGAAACGGGATTCAATGTAGAGCCTCGAATGACGTGAGCGCCTGGCTTTTAAGGCGGACTGAAAGGTGGTTAGAATAAGGAACAGGTACGGGGAATGAGGCTGAACGGGGATGAGCTGGAGCGCCCTTAAGAGGAGGGGTAGCGATCATGAGAGTTGGCCCTTTTCTTTCTGTTAGTGGTACAGTAAGCAGAAAACACTTTCAGATATTTAATATTTTTATATTCATTATTGCATACGTTTTAGCTCTTAATTATAACTAAAGACCCTCCACAATGCACTGCTTTTTCAATAATTGTTAAAGTACCTGTAGAATACCCTATTTTAAAATCATTGCAAAACAGTTTTGAACGCTTAAAGTCCAGCATGATACCCCTGTACACTTTCAGCTTGACAGTGGTGTTCTGTACTCCCACTGTTTGTGCAAATGTTTCTATGATTGCTTTCCTTTTGCCATTGGTAATTTAAATGCCAGTTCAAATTTGTGTACACATTTCACTACTGAGAGTACGCCCTGCTAAAATATTTCTGCTACCAAACAGCATTCATGTAGACTCGCTTCCTAATTGTTATCTGAGTACTATTTATAGCACTAAAACTACAGAAGCAGAAGAGGCCGTAAAAACAATCTAAGGGAAATTAAGGACTTTTTCATTAGCTGAGGCCCAAAAATAAGGAATCCAAAAATTCTTGGCGTAAGATTTATTTAGCAAATAAGGGATTCAGTCATCCCTTATAACATTATATGCTTCATAGAAAATGAGTTTTAGGACACAGCTAATTCACATGTTGGAATGGATGGATTGGCAGACAGACACAACCCCAGACATACACACACCAGGGAACTCTTTCCCAGAATCTAATTAATCTACCAGTTTGTTTTTGGACCATGGAAGGAAATCGGAGCCTCCAGAGGACACCCACACAAACGTGGGGAGAACATACAAACTCTACACAGATAGTACACCCGGTCCAGGACACAGGATATACACAAGGAGACAGTAGATGGGGTTACTGAATACAGTAGGAGCAGGGAGGTAAAGAACAGAACCAGGTCAGTAAAGGCTTTTCTAAAGAAGGTCCGAATTTGAAGGAGTTTAGAGAAGGTGACTCTCTGATAGAGTACCAGAGCTTTAGGGCATTACAGGAGAAGGCCCAGTTGCACATAGAGTGTAGATGGGCTTGGAGGACAGATAGGAGACCAGAATTCGAAGAATTAGACGAGCCAAGGTTACGAGGTGGGGAGTAGGATGATAGTAGCTCAGATAGGTACTGAGGTGCCAATTCATGCAGAGCCTTATACTATAGGTAAGCATGAGGATTGAGTAGAAATATGTCTGTGTTTTGAACTTCAACAATCTAGTTGTCTCCAATAGTTGTCTCTAATCTAATAGTCCCCAATATTCTTTACTACCATTATAAGAACTGATGTTAATGCAACTTAGTTTAGATGAGAAGTAAATGAGCTTTTTATTTACCAATCGTTAGTCCAGGTTGACAGGAATCTTCGGAAAATTGTGATCTCAACAACTTTAATTATACACTTGCAGCTAATAGGAAGTATTGTGGTGGTTCTGTTACATCATTAATTTCACCATAGCCATCCATAAGGTTAAAAAGCCCCTTTTTGTACTAGAAAATCTGTACCAAATCTGTATCTGTAACTAATAAGAACTAAGAACTTTTGGAACAGAATCAGAAAATAAAACACTGAGTTTAAGTGTTCAAAGTGAAAAAGTTTGTGAAAGAGTTCTTTTCCCATGAAAATGTCTTTTTGCATCAGTCATTATTTAGTCGTTTTCTTTTGTGTTTTCTCAGAGACCCCTGGTGCACGTCGCCTTGCTGAAACATGAACAAGGAGCCGTTTTTACTCTGGGTGACATCGGTCCTGAAGGCCCTTGTACTTACGGCACAGGGAACACGTTCTGCACATCCCACATGAGCTGCGACGTCCCCGTCACTTTCAAATCTCTCAGCCCGGGCTTCTACGAGCAGTGGGTGGTGTTCGACTTTGACATGAGACCCGTGCTGCTGCAGAAGCTCCGGGTGCGAGTGGGTCAGCGGAGCCCGACTCCCCCTGCGGAGACGCCCGAGGGCAGCGGGCCCTGTGGCCAGAGCCTGGAGCGCTGGCACCGTGGAAACAGGATGATCGTGCCCTGCCTGGAGAGGACTGAGGCAGAGGAGAGTCTGCTGAAGGAGTACAAGCCGCCTCAGCTGAACCTGCGGTACAAACCCAGAGCAGAAGGAACTGAGCCCCTTACGAGGGAGAACTACAGAGACGGAATGCACTCCTTCCTCTACAGAGAAGAGCTGGCCCAGGAGGAGGTGGCCTCAAGGTAACAGATCTGTGATTCATTAGAGAAGCCGTACATGCTGCCCAATACAACAGGGGATGTAACCCATCCCCACCTTGGGAACCCACAATCCTACTGGTTTCTGTCCCAGATGAGCTCTGAGTTACCTCAGAATAGGTTCTGTTCAACAAGTTAACCCTAATTATTTTCAGCTCTTAGACACATCTTAAAGATGTTTGTGTTTATCAAAATAATCTCCAACATCGGAGTAGAAAAAGAGTGTTGCAAAGGTTCCACTATATAATTTCAAGTAAGAGGTCAATTAAAGGTTCTCAATTGAGAGTTCAATTAAGCAAAGAGCTTGGCTGGACTGTAAATCAGTAGTCTCTGGGTTCCCAAGTCCAGGACTGTGACCCTCTGTTAAAGACACTGACATGATAAGTTGCCACTCTTGGTTGAACACAAACAGTATCAAGACTGCATTAGGAAGTGTACATAAGACAAAAATCATAGTCCTTAATGGACCCCTTTCTGAGAAAGTGCCCAGCGGTGTTTGTTAAAAGATTCACTAGGGTTTGTTGGTTCACCAATATCCACTGACCAAAAAACAAAAACGACTTCTGAGTCTCTAGTATTTAAAAGACAAATATTTGTCATCTTCGGTTGACCCATCGATTTTATGTTGATAGTGCTAAAGTCATAGTAACTTGCAAATAAGAGAGAAATAATTCAGGATCAAATGTCTGCCTGGTTGTACACTTCTACATGTTAAAAAAAAAGTACATCCCCCTTTCAGTGCAAAACATATGAAAGTAAGGCCAGCTTCATTGTTATTGAAAACAGATCAACTATTTCACATAATTCCATTAAATGGAGTCACCTCAATGTGTAGATTAAGGAAGTATGACTGTACACAGGCTTTGAAGATTTGTTCTAGAAAAAGTTTAAGTTTCCTTTGCCAGAACTATCTTTTGCAACGGAAGGCAAAAATAAAATGTCAGAAAGGAAGAATATTATGCTGATTTCTGCTGCATTGCTTATGTCTAGACTGAGTCTACAAGGGCCTGTCTCCCTGACTGAAATCCTCTCGGCGTCCCAGTTTGGGATGAAGATCGCTCCTGCTGGTGAGCTTTTTGCCACGCTCTCCATTCCTTACGCACTGACCACTGACACTCCCGAGGGCTATGTGCTCAGAAGAGCAGTTCGATCGGCTCTTATAGCTCCCTTTCCAGCGAATAACAACAAGGTCTTCGAAGCAATAATTGTCCAGGATGCTAGCAGTGAAAACAAGATCCATCTACAGCTTTCCAAGCGGTGCTGCTCAGACCTCGGTCTCCTGAAGGACACAACCCGCGAGATGGAGGTCCAGTTTCAGCTGAACCGTCTCCAGTTCTGCGAGTGGCATCAGGCTGTCGACCTCCTTCCAGATGTGGGCATAGTGCTGCCAGATGTGACGGCCTGCTCTGTGCCAGTGCACAGCGGGACATTCTCCAAGCTCAATGCAAAGCAGAGCGCAGCCATGGCTTACATCATTGGGGACACAGATGGAGAAAAACCTGTTGCTCCACTACTGATTTATGGACCTTTCGGGACTGGAAAAACTTTCACACTGGCGACAGCAGCCAAGGAAGTTGTTCGTCAACCCAGCACCAAAGTTCTTATCTGCACCCATACAAACAGGTTAGTCCTAGAGCTGGAATTGATAGCCAACTTCGTGTAGATTTGGTATTTCATGCGGATCACTTTACAGTCTAAAACCTTTGTTTAAAAGGCCTAACGAACAATACAGCATGTGCTGGAATAGTAAAGATTGTTTATATAATGCCGCACATTTTGGAGGACCTGAAGCAGTTTTCCATTAACTAAAATGTTTTTTTTCTATATATATATATTCCATAACACCTATCCTGTCATGTTCTAATCCTAGCCTTGTTAACTGAGATTTCCTTCACCAGAAGGAAAACGCTGTTAATTTGGCTTTTCTGAATTTACTATAAGTCAAAATCAGCAGACGTAGCTGAGTAACAATACCTTAGATTATGTAAGACATTAAAAGGTCATTAAGTTACATAAGACTATAAGTTCAAAAGGGCTTTGTTCTCTAAATGGTGATGATGTGTTGTGCACATGATACTGTAAGTAACCTTATTGCATATAGTGTACGACTCCTGTATTCACACACAGCGACACTGGTAGAGATATGTAGCCTTACATGTGTAAAAGAAGGTGGTGAAAATGCTACTCATTGGAATCAATAGGTCCAGTACATTTGTAAGTGATTTCTAAGAGTCATTATCTGTAGCATGGAGAGCATCTGTTGCTCTAGAATAATACATATACTTCTCTTTGAGTTTTAACAGGGTGTTCAGCACCTCATAGACACTAGATTTGTGAGAAACTGCATGTAGTTTTTTTTGCATGTAGTGTAGCTTCCTTCTACCACATAATTATAACAATTTTACAACCTCTTAGTGAACAGGAACCACCTTTGTTTTATCCCACGGTTATATGTATGGATCCCGAATGACATTAAACAGAAATGCAGAGAATGTAGTGACTGACAAAGCTCTGTGTCTTCTATTTCAGCTCTGCTGATTTATATGTGAAGGACCATTTCCATTCCTATGTCAACTCTGGACACCCTGAAGCATTACCCCTGAGAGTCAAGGCAAATAAAAAAGGAGTGCCTCTGGGCGCCACCGATGACATTACCTTAAAATACTGCTTGCTTTCAGAAGATCGCGAGTCTTTCAAATTCCCAGACAGGAAGACATTAGACTCTTTCAGGGTTGTCATAACAACAACAGTGTTGGCCAGTTATTTCCAGCCCCTGAAGCTCCCTCCTGGCTACTTCACCCACATCCTGATAGACGAAGCCTCCCAGATGCTGGAGTGCGCTGCGCTGATGCCCCTGGCTCTGGCTGGGAAGGGGACCCGAGTGGTGCTCGCTGGAGACCACATGCAGATGGGCCCCAAGCTGTTCTCAGTGGAAGAGGGCCGGCACTCTGACCACACTCTGCTGAATCGCCTCTTCCACTTCTACCAGGGGGAGAAGCACGAGGTGGCCTCGAGAAGCAGAATCATCTTCAATGAGAACTATCGCTCCACGAGAGAGATAGTGGAGTTTGTGTCGACTCACTTCTATGTAGGGAAGAGTGATGCCATCAAAGCTGTTGGAAATGTCCCTACTCATCCTCGGGTCCATCCACTGATGTTCCACCATGTCCGCGGGAGTTCCCATTTGGACACTACAACCATGTCCTGGTTCAATTCTGAGGAGATTGCTCAAGTAGCAGAAATAGTGCAGAGTGTGCTCAAAGACTGGCCCTCTCAGTGGGGAAATCCTCAACAACAGACTGTTTGTGTTCTTTCTGAGGGGACCCAGGTATGAAAATATTGACCTTTGCTGTTGTATTTGATTTTTGTGGAAACTATTGTGTGCCTCGATTTTTTTTTAAAGAAAATCATTTTGGCTCAGAAAAGTGTCAGGAGATTGGCCAATATTTCAGCGACACCAAGGTCTGTAAATTGTATTTATTTGTGTGTCAGACGTATGGAAGCATTACCATCATAGAAGTGTGGACCTTTTTCATAATTCAAGGCACTTCTTTTATGAAATCAGCACAATAACATAATCTTCTGAGAAATGTTACCAGCCTTGTTTCCATTATGGATTGTAGATGGTTGTACAATTGATACAGTTTTCATTTTCAAATCTTTCTCTCTTCTCAATATCAGGTTGGTCTTATGAGAAAAGAACTGCGGAAAAGATACTTGGGCAGAGTGTCGGTGGAGAATTTGGGAAACGTACAAGGTATTGGATGATGCACCAATTATGACTGGAGCTACTGTAGGATGTAGAATGTAACGCTGATGTGTAATTTTGTATTCTCTTGGGCAGGGAGGCAGTTCAGAGTAGTCGTGATGACGACCATTCAGACCCGAGACAGCCTGCTGTCTTTGAGCTCAGCCGCTCTGGAGTTCTTCAACGAGCCGCGGGTGCTGAACACTGCCATGACCAGAGCGCAGTCCCAGGTCATCGTGGTTGGAGATGCGGCAGCTCTGTGCTACTTCGGGAAGTGCTCTAAGATCTGGAGGAGCTACATAGCGCAGTGCATCGAGAAGGGCAGTGCTTTCCCACAGCACCTCACCATGGAGCACATTGACCAAGAAGTGGTGGAGATTGCACGGTTTGATAAGGATGAGGAGGACACTAGCAGTGATTCTGAGTCTGTCATATCAGAAGTGATTACGAGCACAGATGAAATACTGCAGGAGCTGATGGATGACTGCAGTGATGTGCCCTTTGAGACCTCAGAAGAAGAGTCTACGGATGATACAGAAAATGTTAACCGACCCATGAAGATGTTTCATTCTGATCCAGAGAAAGAGGCTTCATTGGAGAGTTTACTGAAGAAACAACCAAACAAGTACAAAACTGGGGAAATTGTAATAGAAAAGTATGATCGGGCTTACGTCATGGTTTCTGATAACCCAGCTGTGCATATCAGAATCAATGGGAGGAGGAACATGGGCAAGACCTTTTCTGGGGATGAGGTTGTTGTGGAAATTACCAATGAAAACGGATCTGTCTTTGGGAAGGTGATGGGAATTCTCAAGAAGTCTGAGAAGTCCAGAGTGTTTGTTTGCACCTTTGAAGATGTAGATTTAAAGAAGCATAAAGACGGCAAAGACTTTGTCACTCAGGTCATGATACCTGTAAACAACAGTGTCACCAAAATTCGCACCCTATGTTGCAAGAACAACCGTAACCGAGTTCCAATTTTTAAGTTTGAAGATGGGAGATGGAAGGCAGTTAAGTACCAAACATTCAATGAACAGTCTAAGAGAATGCACGTATTTGTTGTGGAGATTGTGGGATGGAAAGAGCACTGTTGCTTTCCTTTAGGTTTCATCACAGAGGTCCTAACTATAGGAACATCTTTAGATGAAGGGCTAAAGGTTCTTGATGCAGAATTTGATGTAAGGCAACACATTCCTCAGCCTGTCTTGAATGAATTAGGAAAGTGCAGTGAATCCAAAACTGACAAAGAAAAAAGGCATGATTTTCGAAATTACCAAACTTTTACCATTGATCCACGAAATGCCGAAGATCTAGATGACGCGCTCAGTGTTAGGGACTTAAATACCCACTATGAAATTGGAATTCATATTACAGATGTGGCAAGTTGTGTTCCCATGGATGGAGACTTAGACAATTATGCCAGAGAACGTGGAGCTACATACTATCGCCCAGGCAAAGAGCCACTTTACATGTTCCCCCCATCACTCAGTACGAAACTATGCAGCCTTTTGCCTTACTGTAATCGCAGGGCAATATCTTTGATTCTTGAAGTAGAAAAGGACACAGACAGAATTGTGAAGAGCAGTTTTGTGCTGTCCCACATAAACTCCAACAAACAGTTTTCTTACGATGAAGCAGAAGTCATTATAAGAGAACGTTACAAGAAGGAAGACTATGGGTTTGGAACTTCGGAGGACTGCCTGCTAGTCGCTTATCACTTTTCCAGAGTCCATAGAAAGGCCAGGCTTCAAGAGGACTGGAGCTACGATCAGCCTGATGACTACAGAGCCCCAGGGAAGAGGAGAGCCCATCAGATGATTGAAGAACTCATGATTGTGTTCAATAGCTCTGTATCTGACTATTTGATTAACAAAGATTTATCAAAGTATTTAACTCCTTTGAGATGTCAGAAAGGCCCAAAGGTTGAGGAGTTAAATGACTTTCGAAAGAAATACAATGACATAATACCAATGTCTGAGCACTTAACTTACCATATAGGCTGTGCTCGGCGAGCTGCAGTTGAAAAAACCTTTTGTGTACTAACGTCCACATGGAAAAGGCTACAGAGTGCAGCTGAGAAGAGAGATTTTGACAAGATAACAGATTTGATTTCTACCGATGATATCCACCCACAGCTGCTGCCTGTGATATTACACTTCAGGAGGTTGCTTGGCAAAGCTTATACACTTCGCTCCAACTCCAAACCTGAATCAAAGGTTGGACATTATTCCCTGCAGCTAGACTCCTACACCCAGGCTTCCTCACCTCTTCGACGTTACATGGACGTGATATTGCAGAGGCTGCTCCATGCGACTCTCAGTCAGACTCCGGTTCAATACTCACCACAGGAAATTGATATATTGTGTGGAAAGATTGTTGAGAAGAATGAAAAAGCCAATGACTACCAAAAGAAGGCTGAAATAATTTGTCTTGCCATGAACCTGAGAAAACAAAGCACACAGAAGCTGGCATTTGTTGTGGATGTTGACCCAGATGGTGACAATTTCAAGGTGTCATTTCCTTTTGACAAAACCGCTTTATCAGAGAAGTACTCCATTATGTACAGGGACTTGCAATTAGAAGACCAGCCAGAGTTCGATAAGGACAAAGAGTGCATGAGTCTGGGATGGCGCAGAAGGGTTTACTCCACTGACACCACCAAGACCCATCTCGAGCTGCAAAGACTGCTGCAGAATTGTCCATGCACCGGCCACCTCCCTCAAGAGAGGTGGCAGGACATCATTCAAGCTCTCAAGAAGGAAGACTGGAAAAGAGTCTGCTCTCTCTTGATGAACACAAAGTTGGATCAGAGCGACAACAGACACATATCAAAATCTGTCTTTCGTGATGGCTTTGAAGAATCTGAGAAGAAGTCCGAGTCTTCCAAAATGAATACTTCAGATTCTGAAAAGTTCCGAAAACGGACTGATAAATTTGAACATGAGCACTTTGTTAAGCTGCCCTTCAGTCTGAAGCCTGGGGACACTCTACAAGTCCAGTTAACTGCTGAAGTAAAACGTGGTTTTTATATGCCTGCTGTGCAGCTACTGAATGTCAGTCCACAATTTGAAGTGTGCCTAGAACATGCTCGTGATCCCAGTACATGTTTCTCTGGAGGTGCAAAGAATGCAGCCAAAAATTTCTATGATGACAGTGAGGACTATATGAAAATCTGGAGGCCACTGTGTGAAATGGAATCTGCCTCTACAGCAGTGGAGGATAGTGACAGTATAATAATTGAAGATATGGAGATGGACTTTAAGAGGGATGTTAAGAGCATAGAAGGAACCTTTTTTCTTCCTTTAGACTGCAAAAAAGCATGGGCTATTGAATGTGATCTCAGGAAGTGCTTCTTGTGTATTCGAAAAAGAAGTTTAAAGCAGGAATGTCCTTCAGGAGATGATGAGCAGGTGGACCCAGGCTGTTACACATGGGTGGCCCATGGTATCACTAAATACGCTATAGAACCTAAGGATGGCTCAAAAAACAAAGCTGTACAGGTTGGTTTCTACCTCAACCATATCCTCATAGAGAACATCCCAACTTGTGTGTTCCAGAAGAAAACAAAATTCACAGTGGAGCTGATCCCCAAACTCCTTCCAGATGTGTGAGTACAGTAGCTGATACATCCCTTTGATGCTTTCAAATGTCTTTCAAGAGGCATGCTGCCCATTTCCTCAGAAGTAGCCAGTCAGCTGATAATGAGCCTTTAGGAGGTCAGAACAGTTGGAACAATTTTTAAGGTGTTTGAAAAAATGGACAAAGTCTGCCCTGTCACATGATTCACAATTTATTAATGATGTGCATTTTTTTAGACGCAAAGAAACTGCTGTGAACAGCCTCAAATGTGCAAATGAACTTGTTCAGAAGATAGCACTTGGACACAGGATTCCCAGAGCAAGTAAGATTGTCAGTATTGCTGCACGTTTAGACTGTAAGTTATACTGCTGTGCTGCTGATCTGCGCTACAACTGAACAAGGATATGCAGGATAAATCCTTTGCATCTGGTGGATAGTGAACCTGACGAGAGACCGCACTATCTTTCCTAACATTTATCTTACATTTTTATTAGATCGTAGACCAACCCTAGCTTTGCATGTACAGTAATTCACAATTAGTGAGAAATCCCGTTTCAAGGATTTGATTTCTGTTACTAAATTATTTAACCCTTAAGCCGTCCCCATAAATAAATTTAAATTGGCTGTTCATGCTAAAATATCATGCAGTTTATGGAATTGAAGGGATTACAAGGAGTGTTAAAAAGAGCATCTATTATGGATATTTCCTTTGAAAATTAGATTTCAGACACACTCTTGTTTTCCACACAACATTTTTCACATTTGTTAAAATATATATTTGAAATGTTATGCATTATGATGAAATTCTGTGAGGTGCTCTTCTACTTAGAAGCTCCACTATACTTCGTGAACATTTTGTTATAGTAAACACTGATATTTGGGCAGATAGTTACAGACCAGTCCTTGAGCTTCCTGCTTCTCAGCTCATTCATTCTCACTCATTCAGTGGTTAAGGACCTGGACTGCACAGGACACCTGTACATACAGTGTGAAGAGATTTGTGTAAATGTAACATTTTAAATCTCAAAATCAAGAGTTTGAAGTAAAAAGCAAAGTTTGGTTCATAACCAAGTCTGTAAAAACTACAGGTTAAGGTAAGGGTGTTTATTCATGTACAATATGTATTATTTTCCTCTTAACATTTTCATACTGTTCATAGTGCTGTTAACCAGTTAGACAACTAAATAAGGTTTGAACTTGGAGAATGCAACCTAGGCAACAAATCAGAAGGTTTCACATGTAAAAGGAATTTCATTTTCAGTTTGTGATATTCATAAATTGAGGGATAAATACATAACATAGAAATGTATAACTTAGCTACAAACTGTATGATACTATACCTTAAACAGTAATTTTAAATTGATTTGTAAAAACAATTTATTTTTTGTTTGTCTCTGTGACCCTCTGTTGGATTTGCAGGTGAGGAATCTGTAATCCCAAAAAGGGAAATCATGAGACAAGACCCTCCCCATGGTCTCCCAAGACTGAATGAGAGTCAAAACAATGCAATAGAAGAGGCGCTGAAAAATCAATTTACTCTCATCCAGGGCCCACCCGGTAAGAAACAAGAGCAATGCAGGAAATTACTTAGGAATTTAAACCAGTTTTGAGAAAATTGCTTTCTCATAAAAACAGATTTCTGTTTTGTTTCCTGTGAAAAATGTCTTATTTCAGTCTTGTACTGTTTGATTTGAAATATTGTTTTCATGATAAAAAAATATATTCAAAACAATATGTCCTTTATCCAGGTTCTAAAATACTGGCAATAAACATATTCACGGGAGAAGACAAGCTCTCTAAACACAACCATTCTTGGTCACTCCCTCAGCCAGGCAGGCTGGAAGTCAAATTGGTGTACTCACTGAATTATTGACTTGTGTGGGGACTATCCAAAGCACCTGAAATGTTCTCAGAGAGATACGGCAGTTTGTTATTCTTGAGTCAGTTTTGTTTATGCTGACAAGAAAATTGCCTCAGAAAAGAGTCCTTATGTTGGCTTGTGTGTAAAATACCATAAATAAAAATAAAGACTGGAGTTGATTACAGGAAGAATATCAACAAGTAAAGTAGATAAGCCCAGCCGCAGTCTTCAGTAATATCACTGCCTGTTTAAAATGGAATAGCAGTGAATATTTCACAGACCTTTTCAATTAATGTTGCTGTACAGGAGATAAGAGGTCTCTCACCCTGGTCTTGGAGAAACCTGACCTGACCTGAAATTAAGCAAGCAACCAATTCAATTAACACAACACTGCTCCATGGAGACTGAAGGGAACTCAAATTTTGGTCAGACATATATTACATAGTTTATTCAATCATCTTTTTAAGCGGACACAATTAAATTGTCCTAAGTCTTCAGAGAGTATGTTTAGTTGTGACCTACAAAGTTGTATTTGAGACCTCTGTGTTTCCTAGACACCCCATGAGCTTCTATAAAATTGTTGCCTACTGATCACTCATGAAACGTCATTCTGTAGCTTAATTAAAACCAGCAGATATTCTCATTACTATGTAATAATGTTTCACACAAGCTCATACGATATGCTGTATATGAAATATTTAAGTTAAACACACAGAAAGCAGGCACTAGCAGTAAGGGGATATTTACATTGGGTGTGACAACAGATCTATTTAAACCAAATATCTGGTGTTGCAGGAACAGGAAAAACAGTGGTAGGCGCCTACATCGTGTACTGGTTCTTCAAGCTGAACCATAAGACTCCCAGACTCATCACAGACCCCGAGGAGAGGAAGAAGAAGGAAGTCATTCTGTACTGTGGCCCTTCCAACAAGTCTGTCGATGTGGTTGCTGGCACGTGCCCATTTCCTTTCTCATCTTTTCATATTCCACCACAGTACAAACCAAGACGAGTTCAGGGGACTCGGGTGACTTGGTGCAGAAAGTTAGCAATTCAATCCTATTAGTGCAGTTCAGCAGTAGATTGGTGCTGTAACTGTTTTAAATGCAAGATATAGAAATATACCTTCTATATAAAAAAGGGTATGTGAATGTGGTCTCCAAAGAATTTCTATGGTCTTTTTTTACCAAATTTGTTTTAGCATGCACTGTGTGCATATAGATGTATAAAGAATATATAAGATGTGGGATACTCTTCCTAAGTTCATAATTCATAATCATTTCTCATCTTTACTGATGTTTCCTCTTTATTCTTATAGAATATTTGTTGTAGTGCCTTCACTAAGATTTCATAGAGGCACAGTGACTGTGTTCCAAATGTTCTTTAGTGTAAGCAGCTTTCCTTTAGTCTGCAATATTTGCAGGGTGTCATGTAATCTGTACCAGTGATAGTATGTATTAAGAAATTAGCAATAATGAGTTTTGTGGAAAGCAGTAATTATCAGAATGGAACATTTTATGCCCTTATATTTTCTTGACTTACTTGAACAGCGGTCAGTGTTACGGTTGTGACTATAATATACACGTTGGTAAAAGACCAAATGAAATGAAAAATGAACGAGACTTCAACATTAACTTTATTTTAGAATGTTAAACTTATTGCAATGGTAAATGGACCATCTGATACATTGAAATACAGCAACCCACAGAAAGCGTGGAAACTGAAACATTCATTGAGCTGTCTGAATCTGCAGATGCTCTTAACAGCTACAGACCAGTTTGTAGGACCTCTGCGCTCATGCACTATGTAGCAATGTAGGCAGCAGCAAATACACAATTTCTTTTTGCCGATGTTTATTATAGGAAAGAGCAATAAAAGAAGAAAATTGAAAATTATATGTAATACTTAATATATATCTATAATTCAGATTCCAGATTCAAGAGCAACGTTTTGGATTTAGATTTATAAAGAAGGTTAAAATCAAATCAGACTGCTTTTCATTGACTTTGGAAAGAGTCATAAGCCTGCCGGAGTACAGGTTTACATTTGTCCCATTTGCAGGACAAAGTCTCAGCTTTTTTGAACACATCTGTGATCTCTGGCTTAGCTCAGAGGAGCGAAACTTCAACTAACTCAACAATAGTCAATGACTATAAGTACATGGGACTGGTCATTGACAAAAACCTAAAATGGGACGAATGCTGTGACACGATCTATAAAAAAGGCCAACAGAGACTCTTCTTTCTCAGAAAACACAGCTGCTTTAAGCTAGATAAAACTGTCCTTACACGTTTCTACAGATAATTCATTGAAAGTGTCTTAACATACTGCTTCACTTATAGGTTTGGCAACATAAGTACCGGTAATTGCAATAGACTGGGTAAATGAGTGAATATAAGTGGCAAAATAATCGGGAATAATCAAATCAACTTGAGCATCCTTTACAAACAGAGGGTGACTAAGAAAAGCCTCAGGGAGTGTGTGTCTCAGCCCCTCCATTGTGAATTCACACTTCTCCCATCTGGGAGACGCCTCTGTGCCCCCAGGTGTAAAACCAACAGACTCAGGAAATCTTTCATTCCCACTGCAATCACACTCTTAAACAATGCAAAATAACTACCTTGTCTCTTGTTTCTTTTCTCCTGTAACACATGTGTAATCTCTTCCCTTTTGATGATGTACTGTATATTTGTCATTGTGTTGTGTTTGTGCCGTAAAACACATTTCCCTTAGGGGACAATAAAGCTTGAACTGAATTGAATTCAATATTAACATCCATGTTGTCTGATGTTGCCTGTGGACCGCAGAGTACCTGCTTAAATTTGGGGAGGAGATGAAGCCACTGAGGGTGTACAGCCGACAGATGGAGATGCTGGAGTACCCTTACCCTGGCAGTATCCTGCAGCTCTCGCCCAAGTCACTGCGGCAGGAGAGATCCAAGCCAGAACTCAGGTACTCAGCTCTGGACACTGGCAGTGAGCTTTCCCCAGCTCTTCCTTAAATGACTGAAGTGCACAGGGCATGTTTGTAAATAGGTTAACCAACTATGATTTCTATGCCTGATTTGTTTCAGGTCCATTACTTTACACCACCGCATAAGAGAGGAGGAAAATCCTTTCTCGACGGAAATAAATACCTTTGACATAAGGATTCAGAACGGGGAGGACCTGACAGATGCTGAAATCAATACGTAAATATGATTCATGCTCCGTTCATTTCTGCCAAATTGTTATTGCAGCTCTTGTAATTGGATAAGCGGTCCTGCATTTTATTTGCCTGCTGTAGATTTGTTTCGTTTTTTTGTCATTCATGTATTGTAGTAGACAGGTACAGTACATTGACGTTTCTAGATATCTGAGACATCATTGATTGGTCATCAGACTTGGATTGGTCAGATAAAACGACATGTGCCTTTGACTGATTTCTCTTCCTTTTTTTCCATGTAGATACAAGGATGTTCTCAACAAGGCTCGACTGTATGAACTGGAGCGCCATGATGTCATTCTGTGCACCTGTACTGCTGCCTCCACCCCAAACCTCATCCAGAAAGTCAGTGCGCGGCAGATTCTCATTGACGAGTGCGCCATGGCAACAGAGCCTCAGGCCCTGGTCCCATTGGTCAGCCATAAACCTGAGAAGGTCCGTTGGAGTTTTTATCCCTGTCTTTCAAAACTGCACTGTCCTGGCACTGTCAAAGCCTGAGAGCAGTCCTTCTTGCAATACAAAATGTTTTGGACTGTTGCGACAGATAGTGGGCATTTTGACAAATGTAGAGACTAAAGTAGAATAAGGAAAAAGGGGACAATCTCAGGTCGGCACAAGTGGTCAGGATTGCTGCCTCGCAGTGCTGGGGTCCTGGGTTCAATTCTGGAACTGGGGTATTCTCTGTGTGGAGTTTGTATGCTCTTCCTGTGTTTGTGTGGGTTTCCTCTGGGTGCTCCAGTTTCCTACCACAGTCCAAAGACATGCTGGTAGGTTAACTGACTTCTGGGAAAACTGTGCCTGGTGTGAGTGTGTGTGTCCCGTCCAGGTACCCTGCCTCATGCCCGTTGCTTGCCTGGACAGGCTCCAGCTCTCCCATGACCGTGAATTGGATAAAGAGGTTAGAAAACTGATGGGCCAATCTCTTTAATGCCCTAGGCCATTTGTGCAGCACAGCCTAAACTGAGCATTATCTTTAACACTGATTAGTTTGGAACTTGATGAAAATCATGTCTACGGAATGTTTAAATGAATATTGTCAAACATAATTGTGCAGTCATAAACTGTATACAGTATATCTGAACTGGAAAATCCCACGACTGAAATACAAACTAAATAGACACTTAGATTTATGCTCAATGTTTGAGGGATTTATGAGTTAGAACACACAGTCACTGAGATTGTAAGTTAAATGCAGACCCTTAATTTACTCAGTAACAGATTTATATTGCTTTTAAGTAGGAAATCCAACTGGTCAAAGGTACTTTTGAAGTGTTATCATTTGATAAACAGTACAGACTGAAAAGCCAGAATGCTAAGAATTGCACTAGGTCCCTTCTGACCTGTATTGTACAGCATATGTACTATACCACCAGAATAATGCAAAGAAACATAACCCATCAGAAAAGACTTGTTTGCTAAATGTTGCACTAAGGTTAGATAGAAATCTGGTGTTTTTTTCATCAGTCTGGAAGTGGACAGGTGACATTATTCATGTACAGTGCATTACATCAGCATACTCATTATTCCCCACCTCCAATGGTGTATGACAGGAACTATTTTATGCAGCACAGCAAGCTTTCAAATTCTATTACTGTAGATTATCACACACAACACAGCAAATATCCTGCAAATCATTTGCCCTGCTTTTAGTCTGAGCGACTGCTGTGATCTTAGAAGTCCTTTTGATAGAAGACTGGGGATACAGCTTTTTGTACTAGGTCCCCTGTATTCCTGTTGTTTTAAATACAGAATTAACCTCTGATAATCACTTCTCTAAATCAATGGGAAGAGCTCTTCCCATTTCTCGATCCAGAGATTTTACCTACACTGTTATGCAATGTTATGCTGTTGGATGTCTACTTGTTAAGACTGTGTAAGGAGGGCTATTTAGCTATCTAGTGTTACACACTAATATTTGTGTTTCTCATAATTATGTTTAATTGGTGTTTCAGAAATCTCCATACCTCTGAAGAGCTTTTGTAAGCTTTTGTGTGCGCTTTCCACAAACTCTCCCATTGAGAACTGGTTAGTAAGTGGCTCTGAGACTCAATGCGTGAGCTTGAGTTTTGCATGGTTTTGCTGACCCTCTCCTGCACGACCTGTGAGACAGGAGCATATAAGCCAAGAAAGTCACTCCAGATACAGGCAGCCTTAAAGTGTAGGACTCTTGAGTGGCTAGACCAGTAGAAGCACTCTCTCTAAAGGGCAGGTTGAGCTCTATTGCTCAGGGATCAGTTTTTGTAGCCTGGGTGATGTCACACCTGACTGTATCCAGTATTTACTAGGCATCAAAGCTCAGCTGACAGAGCACCACCTGGGACTGGGGGGGGGAGCCAGCTGGGTATTGGTCACTGAAAACTGACTGAGTGGGGTGCCACTCCCCCAGCGTGTCCAATGCAGTGTAACTTGCACTGTGCCAAAAGCTGAATGGCTCAATAGACTACCTGGTCAGAGCAAGCATGTCTGAATTCCTCATGGCCTCATCCCCCACCATACTGGAATCATTACTGGGAGCAGAGACCTACTGTAGCAGACTGGAATCATTACTGGGAGCAGAGACCTAGCAGACTGGAATCATTACTGGGAGCAGAGACCTAGCAGACTGGAATCATTACTGGGAGCAGGCACAATGATCTCTTGGGATTCACTTGTAGTTGCCTGCTTTGTGTCTGAAGGACACTAAAGAAGTATATGATCACATAGGCAAAAGGCAAAGAATATCTTTACTCTGCCAAATAGTTATAATTAGGCCAGACCAACAATTGTAGGTATGTTCAAAATACAATGAGAAAACACCAGCCTTTCTATCCAAAAATTCTTGGAAAGCGCTGTTATTTATTCAATATTTCTCAGAGCTCATAAGATTATAACAATGTCTACAAATAAGAGGAGGCCATACAATTCATTCTGCTGGAAAAGAATGCTGTAAATATTGCAATCAATCCAAAGTCATCCAAGAATCACACCAAGGCCTTTCTTAAAGGATCCCAGAAAGGGGGATTCAACTGCTGACCCTTTAGTGCTCACATGACAGTGAAACAAGAGATGGCAAAGACGAATCTCTCTCTCCCAATTTAAGTGTATAAAACATTTCTATAGGCTCTTAAAGGGTTAGGTTTAAAAACTGTTTTATAGTTCAAAATAAACAGGTAAGAAAGACATCTGAATGTCACCACATTTTATAGAAAGGCTCCCAGTCCTTGGCAAGGCTGAGTACCTAAAATAATAGATGTCAGAACTGATTCAGAATGTTAGAAGATGGGGGTTGTTATGTTAATTTGAAAAGTAATGGTTGAAAAAAAGAAAGGCAAACTAGATAAATGCTTACCCACACGTACTGCCAAGGCTTTAGCAGAGATAAACCTAATAATTAGAGGCACACCTCTAAAACCTCTAAAATAGGTGGGATAAAGGTGCTTCTCAAAGTGTAGTTTTGAATGAGTGTCTCAGCTGATATTGCTTGAAGCCCACTTATTAACCCTACAGTATATAAGACACGCATGCATTGCCACAGGTTTTTGAGCTTCTTGCTAACAGTTGCAAGCATGATTTTATGAGGTTGTCTGGAAATCAGAGGTTTAAATGAAGTGCCATTTTCCTCTCTGAGCTCCAGACTCGCGGTCACTCACCAGCAGTTTCCTTTCAGATCGTGCTGCTTGGTGATCAAAAACAGCTGCGTCCCATCGTGAAGAACAAGATGGCCCAAAAGCTGGGCATGTCCAAGTCTCTGTTTGAGCGCTACATGCGCCGAGCCGTGATGCTTGATACCCAGTACAGAATGGTAAGATTCTCCCGCTGGAGACTAAGGGAAGACTTGTGGTTTTACATTAATTGCAAATGTGATTGTCATTAGTTCAAGTTCAGAAACAACATTTTGAATGTTGTAAGAAATAAGAAATAAGAAAGTGATTACATACACCATTTGTTTGTGTTTTTTTGGTATATTATTCTTACACTAAAAATAATTTCAAATCACTTTCTTTAGACAAACTTTTCAACTTTTATTGACCCATTCTGTATATTTTCATGAAAATAGTTCCCCTATGCCATAGAAATCTGCATTGCATCTCAACAACTGCATTTACTGGAAATCAGTCAAGAAAATCTGTTATTCTAGCACTGGCCACTGAAGAGAGACCATGCATTGAGACCATGCATGTATTTCTAAATATTGATTTCTCTTTACTTCAGCATAAAGACATTTGTGAATTTCCATCTTTGGAGTCCTATGAGGGCCGTTTGAAGACAGCAGTACAGCGTGAGACAAGTGTCTTTCTGGATAACTTCAATAAGAGTGCCCAGACACTTTTTGCACACATCGTGGGAGAGGAGATAAGCCTGGTAGTGTCCACTGAGAAAGGAAACGAAAACTCCAAAGCCAACATCGGAGAAGTTAACCAGGCTGTTAGTACCACTCGTGTCTTTGTCAGCAGATTTTTATCAAGCTGTTGCAACTTACACAACACATTACATTGGTTAAGATGGTGCAAATAATACAGATATATACTGTTTGAGAGGAATTTAGCGAAGCAGATCAAAGCATCAAGTTATTTTTCACACTGAGAAACGGCAATAATAGTTTGACTAAAGTAAACTAAGGGGTCTTCAAACCAGCATGAAAACATGATTCAAGAAAAATTGTATAACGTACAAGTGTGGGCTAATTGAAAATTCAGTGTAGACTTGCTTAAACAGCTATCCCTATGGTTTATGAAGAAAAGTATTGTTTGTGTAAAGGAGCTGCTAGATCTTGAGTGTTCATACAAGGTCAGGCTGCTAGAGGGTGGTGTAGGAACATTTTAGAGACCGAGAGAGAGGGCTAAATATGGTTTTGCATTTTTCACATGGTTATTGGAGAAAGCAGCTGTAATTGTCTCTATCAACAAGCTGATTTCTCTCTATAAAAGAGGAGGGCATAAGACAGAGGATGTCTACTCTTTGGGTTTTGTGGTGCACCTGTAGAGTTTTATGATTGGAGTTGGCGGGGGTGGGGGGGAGAATTCAGTCTTGTGGTGAAACCTTAGTAAACCTTAGACTGCTTCTATGTCAGGGGCGCTAGTTTAACATATCTGAATAATGACCCTGGCCAAACAGGATCAGCCATTTGACATAAGTGTTGAGTAGCAGGGGAAATGGAGTTACAGGTCATACAAGGGATGGGAAGGTTAAGAACATCAGGGTTGTTCTGGACACATCCCACTTCCATCTTCCTTGTTCGGCACTGGGGGTTTATTTATGTTACTGTCAGAGTTTGTTAGGAATGCTTATTTCACAATATGTGTTCTCTTTATTTGACAAGACATTAATTATAGAAAGTGATATCTTTTATTTCTAGTAAATAATTTAAAACACAGGATGTGAATGTTTATTTCTGTAACTCTGTATAAGTGCATATATACTATTGATACAGGAAGTCCTATCTCTGTGGTTATTCCAGTTTTTTCTATTTTTTTGTAAGGATCCATTCCTCAAATAAATAAGAAGTATAATAGTTATTGAACCTAATTTTTGCCTTTTTTCTGGCTCCACAGGTGCACATGGCTGAGCTCCTGATAAATTACTCCAACATCTGCCCAGAAAGCATTGCTATTCTCACACCTTACAATGCTCAGGTTTCGGAGATCAAGAAAAGACTAAACAGAGCAGAAATGAAAAAAATTACAGTAAGCACTATCACAAAGAGCCAAGGTTAGTTCTCTTTTTGGACTTTTTATACTTTTCCCCTTTGAAATTGTCAGACATGATCATGCCCCTGGAGAGGAAAAAAAGGTGGGAATCTTCTCCTCTGACAGAACCACTGTCGTCCATCTAGTCTCAGGTGTCACTGGTGCACACTAATTCAAAGGTTTACTGGACATCTCAAGTCATTTCAACCCCATAGACAATTATCTAGATGTGTTCAGCTGTCTGGGAAATCTTAGGTTAACTTACGACAAATCCCAGACTTGAACCAGCAATGTCAGAACTAAATGGCTCAACCATCAAGAGCTCACTTTTTAAACTGAGCTACACAGCAGTCCCTTCTGGTGGTTTTCAAATACTGTGCACATAATCTCCATACAGTCCTAGGTGTTTAAATGACAGCTGCAAAAAATTCTAATTGGATATTGTGAGCATTGTTTTTATATGCGGCAGTAAGAATATGGCTAAAACACAACTGGTGTTTTCATTTTGTTTTAATTTACATAAAGGCACCAAACATACTGCTCTTCTGCAGCTGAAGGAAACAAACTTGCTACTTCTTTCACATGTGTACCACCCAAAAGTGATGCCCATGCAGTGCATGTTGGGTGATGGTGGGTTTATACCCCTTGAACAAAGCCAAAGTCCTGCGTTAAAATGACACAACATGTCCCATCCAAACTGCGCTGTGAAGTGTTTGTTTCAGTGGATCAACCATCCATCCATTTTCTAACCACTTTCCAATTCAGGGTCGCTAGGGAGCTGCAGCCTATCCCAGCAAGCATCGCACACAGGGCAGTGTACACGCTAGTGTGCCAGAGGGCAGATACACAGACACAGACATGCACACATTCACACCAGGTCCAGTTTTTTGGGTTTGGTTCCAGAATTGGGAGGCTAACTGCTTGGAGTTAGTACGTTCTTCTTGTTTTGTGTGGGTTTCCAACAGGAGTTTCAGTTTCCTCCCAGAATCCAAAGACATAATGGCAGGTTAATTGGCTTCTGGGAGGAAACTGGAACACCCAGAGGAAACCCACACAAAACAAGAAGAACGTACTAACTCCAAGCAGTTAGCCTCCCAATTCTGGAACCGAACCCAGGACACAAATGCTCAGAGGCAGCAGTTCTAACCCATGTGTCATTATTTCACCTCGGTGACCTCATTTCCTCGTTCATCACTACAGTATAAGTAGTCTTCCTTATTTTCACAAAAACTCATAAATACAAATTCTAACTCACAGATTTATGGACAGGGTTAAAATTGGACCTTTCTGATTATTACCTAATTTGTGTGTTTTATTTCCCTGTCTACTAGGAAGCGAATGGCGCTATGTGATCTTGTCAACAGTGCGCTCCTGTCCTGATTCGGAGATTGAGACTGAACCCAGCAAGGGCTGGCTCTCCAAATACGTGGGATTTGTTGGCGACCCCAACCAAGTCAATGTGGGCATCACACGAGCCCAGGAAGGACTGTGTATCATAGGTAGGTGTAACAGGGCAGACAGAATTGGAATGTAACAAATTGGGCCGAGCCACTAGAGGGCAGCATTGAGACATCCCAAATACAGCAAACTGCATTCTTGAGAGGAAATTAAGGCGGGCTGCACCTGTGGACGTCTCTATAAAAGACGTTCAGAAGAGACAGACATCTGCTCAGACCCTCACACTCTGCTTGATGGTAAGGCCCTAGATCTCGGGGTGAGATTTGTTATGGCAAACTTAAAGGTTTAAAAAAATTCCAGTTGTTTTAAAAGAAAAACACTTTCGTTATGAAGGAGCAGCCTGGATCACTGCCGTGCCAGCTTGTCTGTAAACAAGAAGACGCGCAGAGCAGGCTGGCCTAAACAGGGTCGACCATGTGGGGTTTTTCCACTGCTACTTCCTTCCCGATCCACTCATATGCATGAGTACAGGATTGGGAGGGCAGATTAACATCAAGGTTGATCTGTTTGCCACTTACTGTAATTTCCCCTATAAAGGGAAGGTTGTATGGGTTTCACTGCTACGCTACCAACTAAGGGGGATCCGTCACAGTAGGATATATACCAGTTGATGTAGGAAAAGGCTTGAGACACCTGTGATTATTTTCTTGGGTGAGACATTGTGGATATTGGTGCAGCCCATGTTATGGTGTTTTTTCTAGGGAACCAAAAATTGCTGAACTGCAGTACTGCCTGGAAGCACCTGCTGAAGCATTACACATCCCGGGGCTGGGTTATAAACGCAGAGACCTTCTCCGTGCGCAGAAGGTGACGCAAATGAAGACGGGCTTTGGGCATCCTTCTGCTACACATAGTGCATGTTGTGCACTGAGGTCTGCGGTGTTAACTTAATTTACAGCTTTATTTTTCATGTCGTGAAACAGGTCGAGTAGAAAAATATCTCTAACAACTGGTGGAAGACATGGGTTAGGTGAAACTTTTTGTGTTTTTGTGTCTGCAATACCACTAGGGTTCGATTCGCCTGCCATTTAAGATACTGTAGAGAAGGTCTTTGTGTCCTTCTCTACCTAAAAGGAGTTTCCCATACACAGCTATTTCTTTCTGTTGCTCTCAGCTTATTTCCTCGTCATTTGGTAGTACCATCTTTCTTCTTTAATCCCTGCTCCCCTTTACAGAAGACCTATAAGAATGAAGGAACGCTTACAGTGAAGGGAAGCCAGTCGATCCATTTAGCTCATGGGTGGCTGTGTGTTAACTGATCCGTGAATCCTATTCAGTCATTTTCTGATGGCAGAACAAGGCTTGAGTCTCAATAGCTGTACTGGCTCGTGACCGACTCCTGCAGATCTTTGGAAGAAGAAGAAGTGTGTTCCATTCTCAGTCTGTTGAGCCTGAAGAACTCAATTGAGTTGACTTTGCCAGTACCTTTGAGGTTAATGTGGGTTCAGGGAGCAGTGGTTTGGACTCTGAATTATAACTAGAAAGATGTGGGCTGAAATTATGGTGGAACTACTTCTCCTGGACTCTCCAATGTGGTACTTCACTCATACGACTTCAGTACAAAACCCAGATGTGTGGATGTGTACAAATGGAAGTCACTTCAGAAAAAAGTGTCGGCTAAATAATTTCAGAATTTAATGAGTGCTTCACACCAGCCCCTGGTGTTCTTTTCTTTATGGATGATATTCCTTGAAATCTGGAAATATTGCTTGTTCTTTGGGCTGATTTGAGAGCATCTATATTTAAAAATGTGTTGCAATATTCTAAATGAGTTCTTACTAATTCTTTGTAAAGTTTTATCAATGCTTCCCTTAATTTTAGTTCTACATTTTTAACTCTGTATCCTATTACTGTTTGCCTTTTTTATTGCTTCTCTATATAAGAAAAATGGTGTTAAAAACTACTGCTGTCTGGATTTTCCTATTTAAAAAGCATGCCATAATTACAAGAATGAATGGGGAATTGTATGGCAGAAGTGTCCTGGAAGTGGCTGTTCTGCTCAAGAGGATTTTTTCTAAAATATCATACCAAAATGGTTTACCAGCTTATTACCAAACATATTACTTATTAAAGTTATTACCAGCAACTGATGAATAGAAAAACAGAACAAGGAAATCTTCCGGGAGAAAATTGTATTTATACATAGCACACAAATAATAAAATGTCTTAATTTTTCAAATGACAGGGTAAAGGTGCTGTCCGAACTCTCTTTTTTTTGGCATGCCATATAAACTCTGAAATGTATTTTTATTTTACTGTTAAGTTACAACGTGCTTTTTAAATGATGCGTATGCTGAAGGAGATTATTTAAAATACATTAACATGAAAGTGCATTTATTTCTAAGTGTCAATTGTTTTGGATGGTTTATTTTGGACTTCAATGGGTATTGTAAAGTTTCGTTTCTTCTCTATGAACCATCCCAGAGCAGTGTTAGAATCTGGAGGCTTGAAGTTGCAATGAAATTTCTTAAGCTTGGCGCAAGGTTAAAGGGTATATATTTCCTATTCCTTTTGGGACACTTGATGTCTATTGCAGGTGTCACTGAACATTCCAGGGAATTTATTCAGGGATCGTTCCAGAGATTTTTGCATTTGCTACTATTTTGATTACAATATCCAGAAATACAGGTGTTTTATTTTTTTTGCATGTCATTTTCATGATCATTTTGTGGTGGTGCTGCTTTTATAGGACACACAATTATTGCCTGCACATTCAGGCAACGTGAAATTCAGGAAACTTGGAGTTTCATTTTATATGCATTATTCCAGTAGCTTTGCAATGCCACTGTTTTTTAAGATGTTATACAGTAGCACTTTGGAGCCAGATGTACTTATTGTAATCGTGTTACTGATCTGAAGGAGATGTGGTATTGGCAAGGAGCCCAAATGAAGTCAATGTTTCAGGTCGTCTTAAGTCAGTGTTTACAGTGTCTTCACACAAGTGTGTGTTTCTTTCCACTCATTTTGTCCCAGAAAGAATGAGGTCACTTTGGCTGGACAGTACCCCAGTACTGGCTAGTATGTCATGTCATCCTTTCATATTCTTGATGCCTTATCCAGTACAAGGTCAAGGTATCCCAGCAAGCAACGGGCACAAGGCAGGAGACAACCTAGATGGGACGTCAGTCTGTCGTAGGGAAGACAGATTCAAAGACAGATCCAATCACATTAGGGCCAATTCTTTTAAATGGCTTTTTAAATTTATTTTTTAATTCCGACTTTATAGCCCTTTTAACTTTTTATGCATTTTGTATTAAATATGGGTTTATTATGAGCAGTGTAGCAACTGTGAAGCAATATTGACACTGAACAAGCTTTGAATGTGAATGAGGTTTATTCAGAATATATCTTTATTGTATTTCTAATCTATTTGTACATTCCTATGTGGAAGCTGTGAAATGTATTGTCAGCCCTTTTATCTGATCTATCCATGACAAAATGTGATTACGAATCGGTAGTTCTTGAAGCTCAGGTGAAAACAGCACGAAGAGCGATCTGTCATTTTTACACCATCTCTTTCAATAGAAATAAAGGATATCTGTGTGTTGGTCCTCCTCATCTCTATCTTATTTGCCCTTGGCAAAGAAATGGATTTCCTCCGGGTCAGACTGATACCCAGGTTCTTAAGCTTTGATCCAGCGGTCATATTTGTTAAGGTGTCCTTATTGGAACTGTCCGTGACAGCTGAGGAGAGCTTAGCAGAGCCTCTCAAAATAATTGTTTTAATATGCGGTTCTCAGGGGAAAAACAGCACCAAGAATGAAGTGTGATGGAAGATGTTTAACGAGTGTTTTATTCATAGTAAATTTGGCTTAACCCTCTTGGTTAACCCACAGTGTGCTCTGGGAAGAGTTGTGAAACAGTTACCAGCATTGTTGTACTGAGCTCTTTAAACCTAGGTATCATGCAGCTTTTTTTTTACTTCTGATAAATTTTTGCTATACTGTCTGACCTAGGTTCACTGGAAATAAATGACCAAATCAACACTCTTTTTTAAAAAAGCTTCTGACACTCATATGAAGCTTAATATTCATTTGAAATTAACTTGATTTTTAATAGAGTCAAGTAGAGGCATCAGCTACATTATAATAAGAGTTGCAGTTTCTTGCAGATGTTTTAAATGTGATTTTTAAATTCTAATTTTGAAGAACATATACACAGTGTGATTTCAGCCAAAAGTGATTTTGTATTCTTACAAAATATCTCCCAGTAATTTGTGTAATCTTAAAAGTTATTTATCCTCTCTAATTTTATAAACAGATGGTGTATTTTTTTAAATTAGCTATTTGCTTGAATTTATTTTTTAATATCGTTCATAATAAGCAACAACACTTCTGTACTTGAAATAGTCATACATATCATGCTGTTATATGAAGTCTTTTGGTGTATAATTTAATAAAGCAGATATTAATTTCCTTTTGAGTTCCGAGAGAATGCAGTCTTTGCCCAGCTGAAAGCTACTGTATGGATCTTGCCAATAAAAGGTTTTGCTTAATTGCAAAGGTCTTTTTGTGTTTGTAGAAGCGACTAACAATTTTTCTCCTCGTTTCTTTTACTTTTACCACATGCAATCGTTTCGGAATGAAGAGATTTGGACAAAATTACGGAAGGGTCGGTTCTGAAATTGACAGACTGCACAAATCCCATACATTTATGTTTACGTCTGCTTTTGTAATGCGGACGAGAACGAGATGTCGACTAAATACGTGAAACGACTTTCAGACATAAAATACATATTTACAAACAGAGCTGTGACACCGGGATCTTTCACAAAAAAAAAAACAACAACAACCTCTGGACCACATCCTCGGATCCATTGGCTAAGAGGACGAGATGGCCTCGCCTTTGTAACCTCCTGATCATGCGACATCAAAGTTCTGTATTCTGCCTCCGAGTTGGCTCTTGAAAAGAAGCTGATCGCAAGCCAATTAAGTAATACAGTACGTGTTGTAGAGAGCCTATTTAGTCTCCAAACATCTGGCATATATCCAGTTCATAATTTACGGCATTTTTTTTAATTGGAAAAAAAAAATAGAAATAGCTAAAATGAGAATTTAGTCGTCCAGAAAGAAAAACAGACATCTTCCGACATAACAGTATTTTGAAGGGGCTCCAATACTGAAAATCAATAACTGCTAAATGAGTTACCTCGGTGCGTCCTAAAAATAAAATCAATAAACATAAAAACTAGCACACAACGTTAGCGTCACTAAAATACTTTCATATCAAGTGTACTTTTTTTAAAAAAATTTCGTGTGTTACTTAACAGTATCGGATGGGTTCTTCCACTCATCAGACTGAGAAAAGTTGTTCAGGTTGTATTTGGGCCACTATGAATCAGGGCTATAGATTACTATTCAACAGATAAAATAACTTTCAAATAATTACATCTTAAAATGATGTAGATGTTAATTTAAATTTGTTTTTTAAAATAAGATAATATTATGATCCTAATCAAAACGAACGATTATTCTACAAAAAGTTAAATGTACTCGTTGATTACGGTCTGTCAGCCCTAGATCAGCTAAAATCCGTTCTGATTCAGCATGTCCGGTTTTTCCAGCCTAATGGCTACAATAACCTTGACTCTAGCATCTTGGTAAATTTCAAAATGTACGTTGTCCTCTTTAAAATTTCTTAAAAGGAAAAGTCACACAGCTGTGTTTACACGTGGCTTTGTTCCAAATCCCATAATTGCATTCATTTTTCCCCATCTTCTTCTACATACACAAGAAAAGACTCCAGATCACAGCAGTGAAGTTGTATGTTAAAATTATTTGTAATTTCCTGAGTCCGTCTAGTGCGGGTTTAAAAAAAAAATGAAGATACTAATAACACAGGTGTTTGGCTTGGAGACTAGTGCAATAAGAAGGGCTCTTGTATGCAATTTTTCAAGAAAACAAGTTTGCTAATGACTTTCCACAAATGCTAATTATATTTTTAAGATTATCATAGTAATAACACAACCTATACATTATTTCTGGTCTATAAAGGTAACAATATTATATCCTTATGTTTGTGCCATATGCCATCCATCCATTTTATCTCATTCAGGGTCCCAGATGAAACCCATTCAAACACCAAAAGACCATGCAGGCTCCACCCAGACAACACCCCCGGAATTGAATCCAGGACCCATCACTGCAAGGCAGCAATGCTGACCACTGCCCACTGTGTCAATTTGCCAGGCCTGTCCTGTCCACTTTTCATTCCAAAGACTCCCAAATCTATGTACACGAGGGGACCTATTGTAACAGGAGCCGGTCTAGGCTCCCTCCCGCGAAGCTTAGTTCAGGGCCCTATGCAGACGGTATAATCCGGAGGAGAGGAGACGAAGAGGATCAGGATGGGTTGACAGACAGGGGGGTGTGACAATGATCCGGTGCTCAGGGGGGGCGTGGCGATGGCAAAAAGGTCCAGACAGTCCAAAAGGGGGAATCCGGGGTGCAGTCCAAAGTCCAAAACCGGGGGATCCATCCGAGACAAGACGATTAAAAAGCAGGGACATGGTACAAGGAGATTAAAAACGGAGCGACGAGGCCAGGTGCTCTGAGCCCCGGACTCAGCTGGGTCAGGACGCCGTTAGGAGGCCTGTGCCTTCAAGCTATGGATGTAGGGCGACTTGATGGTAGGCGGGCCTCTGAGTGTCCGTCTTCCAATGCAGAGCCTGGAATACCAAGTGCGTCCGGATTAAATAAGGAGACAAAACAGGAGGCAGGTGCGCATAGTCAACTAAAATACGAAAGGGCTGATCCCCCTTAAGGGATTCCAATTGTGACACCTATGGTACGTCTTTGATACTCTGAGTGCACCCACCTTCATACAATGAAGCATGACAGTTGGATTAACGTTACCAGTTGGATTATGTGGGGAAATTTAGGGACGCCAGACTGTGCTTGTCCAAAGTGGAGTTCAGCCATGACACCAGAGTTACCACTCCTACTCTTACACACAGTGACATGAGATCTTTAATAAGCACAAGTAAATGTGCTTCAACACCTCATCTGAAGTACCGTACCTCCTAGTCTAGAGGCTCAAACTCTTGGTCCAGGGGACACCACTGTCTCTTTTTCAGCCAATGGTTTCATTAATGGCAAATTCGTTTCAGCTTTCCGTTTTGGACCTATACGCGAAATGTTCTTTCGGATTCTTGCAAGGTGAAGTGGAATTTGTAATTGGAATCAACCCTTTATCTTCCCGAGTCCCAGAATTGACTTCATTCAGCTGCATTGCCTGAAATGTAACCCATTGGATCTCTGGAGAAAGGGGGGAAAGCTGATTGAAGGTTTCTTTGATACCGTGTCATCCCCACCTATGTCTGTTCATCACAAATCGATTTCGATAAATCAATTTTAAGAGCGGTTCGGTCAGAAAAAAAGGTGAGGAAGTTGAAGAGAGACGGTTCTGTGTGCTGAAGGGTAGGTTTTTTGTGAAGCTCACGCCTGAGTGCAGAACAAACTATACTAAAAGTTTAATCAAGCAGAGCAGTTAAAGGCATCAATCAGCACTGGGGATTTAGAGCTTAATTAGAAAAACATAGCAGATCCAGTGCTCCCTCCAGAACTGGGCCCGAAACTGCCATCCTACAGTATGGTGTTCTCGGTCAGCGTACCGGGGCAATAGTTTGAAATTCTCAAAGCTCAAAGAAGCACACATACACTCACCAATTCTCCCAAACACATGCAGATGATCTCTTAAGCCCATAAGAATTCCAAATCTTTCAAAATCTGCTACTCTCCTCCAAAATGATTCTAAATGTACCCAAGCACTCCAAAATGGAGCTGGTGTTCCCAGAAGTGCCAACAAAGTTTTACAGAAGTCAAAGAAGTCCCAAACCGCTCGGGACAGCTCAAAGAAGCACATGTACTGTATGCTAATAGTGGACTTTTGGAGACACAGGCCACACACTCACAGCCCATTCAGTATTGATGGAACGGAAGTGGAAACAGTCACCAGCTTTAGGTTATTGGGAATTCACATCTCTAAAGATCTAACCTGGACTGTGAACACTGACTATCATGAAGAAGGGTCAGCAGCGCCTTTATTTCTTGAGGTGCCTCAAGCTTTGGGGGATGCCAGTACCCGTGTTGGTGAACTTCTACCACTGCACCATTGAGAGCATCCTCACCACTACAGCAACACCTCTTCGAGAGAGAAAGGCGCTGCAGAGAATGGTCAATATGGCCCAGAAGATGGTCTCACCGAGATTAAACAGCTCTATGTGGACCACTGCTGTGGTAGAATTCTGGCCATCACAGAGGACAGTCACCACCCCAGGCATGAGCTCTTCACCCTACTGCCCTCAGGCAAGAGATAAGAGCATACAGACACTTACCCATAGATTCTTCAATAGCGTCTACCCACAAGCAGTGCGATTGGCGAACACATCTGGCCATGCCCCTCAGACCACACCTACCTCATTATGATTTCTTATTTATTGCACATCTCCAGTCATTGTTTACATTCAAACTGTTTACTTGTACATTGTCTACTGTTTGTTTGTATATTGTCTATATGCACAGTCTGCACTTTGTGTTTTTACACTTGCTTTAACAATAGAGAGACTTTCTGTAAGTAAGAATTCCATTGTACCAGTACTTGTACCAGCTACATAGGGCAATAAAGTTCAAGTTCAAGTATGCTCACCAATTCTCCAGAACACTCCAGATTCCTAATGTCCACCTACTGGTCACAGTAACCCACATGCAGAAGCAGTTGGGTTTAGAGGTCTCTCACACTCAAAGTCACCAATATTCACTGCCAGTCCTGGAATCCACCATGTCTCCTGGTCTTCATTCCACTCTGGCCTTTTTATGGTTTAATTTGGATCAGTTGTTCTCTTAATTGGTCTTTATTACCATTGGTTCCAGTCTTTCCTCACTGAGGATTGTTTATTGTGTATAAACGTGCTGGACTGGGCCCTTCTCTGTGCAGGAGTGACTATCACTACACTAGATGATATAGTAATGCTGCTGTCAGTAAGGACTTATTCAATTACAGCAGTTCCTTTGCTGTATACATGCCTGTTAGAAATTAAAATGGGTTTTGCAGAAAGTGCATCGGCATTTGATCATTTTAAATAGATCATAGATGACGTCATAATTGTCCGAGTTTATAGCTCATAAACAAAGATGCAACTTAATAACATTTCAAATTAATTAAATACTTACACACCGGATTTAATGCGTCACACAATTGAAGTATCTTTGTCATATTAGCACATTTTGCACGCATATTTAAGTTTGTTATATTTACAGGATAAAAACATATCCTGACAGCAATACGTCCCAAACAATGTCTACACGCAGATATTTTCAAATCTAATGACTAATCACTAGCGTTCAGTTTTTGTTAACAACACATTTGGAGCTGCATTAAACCGTTTTTACAGAAGAGGGAGCCAACGCATATTTTTTCAGAGAATCAACTTTTAAAAAAACGGCGAAACAAGGGCAGATTGTAAATAATCTACAAAGGAATTTAAAATAAACAGTAAAGCACATGATGCGGTATACACGTGTGCTGGTTTTGCTATCAGTTAAGGGGGGGGGTCGTTTGCTTTTTAAATACTCACGATGATGTAATTTAAACAATAATTAAAGTTTACGGAACTCTCGCTGAACTTGACGATCTCGGGTGAATGACGTCATACGCCGGCAAACCTAACCGGCTGTGTCTCGTGACCAGGTGCTCCAGTTTGTAAGCAGGTGCAAGTCGTTGTTCTAAGCTTCGAGGTTTTTTGCAGTGTATAAGGGCTTGTAATAAATATTGGAAGCGGCTGGGGGAGCCAGATGTACACTAAAGGGCTGGCTAGATAGAATACCAACACATTTCAAGATCATTAGATATTGTAAGATACTGTAACACATACGGCCACCATTGCAGGTTGTTAATAAATAGCAGGGACCGCAACCGGCGGGCTGAAGGGAGATTTCCCTTTAGCTCAATTGGGTGGGTCCTTGTTGAGAAGCCGGAGGCCCGGGTTCGAGTCCCTATGGAGGGGGCCGACCTGAGGCGGCAGCGGCGAGGGCACATACCCACGTGAACCCGAGAGTGCTACAGTACTGTACATCCTTGAAGAACAGTAAAATGACTGATGTTTCAGCATGTCAAAGTAGTTCAGTCATTTCCCAGTAATCTCACTTCCCCTTTAAACTATTTGAGAGTCGTACTAAAACTGTCGTACTGGCTTGTGAAAGCAGACTTCGGGGTGCAGGAGTTGTATTTTAGGGTACAGGGCGTGGTACGTGCAACGGATGCTGCTTACGGAGTGGGTTATATTGATATTATTGATAATACAGTATAGAAAGTTAGGTTTAAGAAAAAGATCACAATTGGAACATTATGCTGTGTCTCTGAAGGGACTTCCCTTGCATTGTGATATACTGTAGATACGGACAGATACCTGTTGTTCCTGGGAGTCAGCTGAAAACAGTAGTATTTAGTAGTATGGTTTGTAGAAGAAAAAATGCCTGTCTCTATGGGAGAAACGCGCCGTGCTTGCTGTATTAAAACGACAAATCTGGTGACAGCGTCCACTCATAGCTGCACCTCTAATAATAATAATAATAATAATAATAATAATAATAATAATAATAATAATAATAATAATAATAATAATAATAATTAATAGCAGCTTACACTTATATAGCGCTTTACAGGTCATGGGGACTCCCCTCCACCACCACCAGTGTGCAGCCCCACCTGGATGATGCGATGGCAGCCAGACTGCGCCAGTACGCCCAGCTATCAGTGAGGAGGAGACCCTAGAAGACGCAATAGCGAAACTATCGTGCAGAAAAGAGTCCCCCGCTCCCCAGCTTGTATATTGTGATAAAGACAGAGTGAGGTGCCATAAAATCAGAGGAAATCGTGGTTAAACTCGATTCTGAGCGATGGTACACGTGTGGTAAAAGCAGAGTGAAGCATTTCAGTGCCGACAACTCAGCTGTATGCTGTACTGGTCGTGCATTGATACATAAACCTTGATGGATTGATATTGTGAAAATGGCTTGCACTGTCATTACCTTGTGTGCAGCCAAGGGAGACTGTACAGGATCTTTTATCTTCATCTGAATTCTCGACACTTTTAGTATTTCGAAAGGTAACATTTTCTTTGAAACTCGGACACAGGAAGAACTTGCATTTATTTTTTTTATTATTTTTTATTAAACAAGCATCAAAGAATAGAATAATGTTTGGCAACATACAGATTAGGCCTACGCTTCTCGTTTCACAGATACAATGAAAGTGTCACTGTTTTGTCGGTCTTCAGAAGTGATAGACAAGCTAAGGAGAGCTCCCTGCGCACACCCCAGTGCAACCGCCTGGCGTCGGGTCTTACAAGCGAAGAAAATGAAAAACGAGCTACGGGTGAAAGTGAAAATTCCAGTGCATCTGCATTAGAAGTTCATTAAGTCATTTTCAGTGACGGCTCCCACGATCTATAGGTCGAAACCGTCGTAGGAATATGAGCTAGGCTCTTCGTCTGACCGAACAGAGATTTTGAAATGACGCCTTAGAAAACCACCGTATCTCTTCTGGTTATCCCACTTCAACTTAGGTCGAATTCGCCGCATGAACCCTCCATATCTCTTTTGCAGTTCTTCTTGGCTGCTTTCTTCGGCGGAGTCGTGGCTTCTCTTGGGACCGAATTTCCTCAGAAAGCCCCCGTAGCGCTTGACCTCGTTCAGGGCGGCAGCGCCGTCATTGTAGACCACCTCCTCGTCCTCCGACGTCCCGTCGCCGACCTGGCTGTCCTGCAGCAACTCGGGCGCGTCGCGTTCTCCAAACTTCCGGAGCAAATTCCCGTACTTCTTGGCCAGCAGGCCCTTGAGGTGTGCGTTTTCTCGCGCCGGGGAGCTACTGAATATTTTGTTTTTGTCGACTTTCTTGATGAATCCGCCGTACCGCTTGACTAAGTTGCCGGCGGGGTAGTCCTTCTCTTCTTTGTCCGCTCTGCTCGGCTCGTTCTCCGTCAAACCGGCGGAGTACATCTGAAGGGCTTTCTCGCATTTTTCTAATTCTGTGGTGGACGCCAGGGCCCCTTCGCACTCTAACGTGCAAGCCTGAAAGTAGAAAATAAGGTCAACACGACAGATCCTCGATACGACCCCGAGTCCTTAACTTACCGGTTTGTTGAACGTAATGCTGAAACTACGCGTCTTTCTGTTGAGTCTGTTCATCTTCACACTGATACAACCAGCTAACGCCATTGACGAGAGTTATAGTTTCTCGAACATATTTGTACTTGGAGCAGTTTTGTTATTGATGTTAAGCTATGCACCGCTCCTGTTTCACAATATTTGGGGGGCACATGGCAGTATATTTTGAAGTTATATTACGTGACTTGTTTTTATACGATGATAACATCTTTGATCAAATTAACAACAACAGAAACGTAACACTTGTACAAAATCATTTCACCGGGTTTCTCGATTAGCCGCTTACCAACCGATGTAACTCTCCATGGTGCTGAAACGTGTGTAATCGATGTTGTCTCCATCTAAAAAGAGTCCTGTTTTCAAAACCCCTAAATTCTTAAATCTTCATTTCTGGCTAAGGGGATTAAAACACCGAAGTGTGTTTAACACATAACCAAAGATTATATTTTAAAAACACTCTGATGTGAACAGAAATTGTCCAATAAATGTTGACTGATACAACCCATTCTGGTCCCACGTGGTTCAGCTTGACTATACAGAGCGCAAGGCGTTAAAAAGCATACCTTTATTTTGTGAATGGAATGGAAATACATGCCTATGATTGACTGAACAAGCATGTGCACACAAAATAAATAATTTACCGTGAGTTGGTGAATGTTTTTTTTTTTCAGTTTGGTGTTCCGAGAGTGATTCAACATATCAAAGAAACAAAAACGCCCTGTCACGTCGTTTTTCAGAAAGCAGCCCAACCACCCGAAGTAAACTGGACAGTTAATGCTGTCTTACCAGACTGTTGATGTTGATGTTGACATTGGGGATCTGCTGAGCACAGGTTAAGCACTGGGAAGAGCAGTCTGCTTGGACTGAGGATGGCAAACTCAGACAGAGAACCAAAGCCAACACTGACCACTCCATTCTCTTAACGTTATCTCTCCCGATGGCTGAAAAGCAAAGACATCGCCCAGCACAGAACGGTTAGCACAGTGCACTACGAGGAAGCAAAGATAACGCATACCTAAAAGGTATCCTTGTCGCTTTATGACCAGTTCACAGTCTCTAGACGATTTAATATCGCATTTAGCTCGGTTTATAGACATGGCTTTTGCTTTTTAGAAAGTTGTGCTTATTGTACGGAGCACGTCTTCAACGCGAGCCCCGTCTCACAGCGCTGCCTTCACACCGTAAATTTGGGGCGTCAGTTTGCGCTCCTGATAACATTGCAGCGTTTAGCAGATCGAATCACTGTATGAAAACGTCTGACCGTAAGTACCCTCACCTAATCCAGCTCGTTACAATTATTGCGCTTAACAAGGTGCGAACGTTTAGAAACTGGCAAGAAACTGGCGTACTGTAGGTGTACATCGTATATTCTTCTTCTGCTGTATAATATGTATTACATAGAATGTAAACAATATAAAATACCGTAACATTTTAATTGGGCTTATAATACATTGATAATACAAACAGGATACACTATCTGTACAGTTAATCAGTTTTTACTCTTTAAATTTGTTTGCGCAGAACTTGGGTTGCTCTTTCAGTGTGCGCTAGCCTCATTTCAATCTTATGTTTTTTTTTTCATTTATTACACCAGCACGTCATGTCATTACACCTAATATACATTTCCCGTAGTGTAAAGTGCTCTGATTATCGTTGTCTTATAAGCATAAAATAATACGATCGTAAGGGTCAGGACATAAGACTTATTTTACGGAACATTTACATCGTTACTCGATGTTCTTCCGTGTTTCTATAATCTCTTATATCTTTTAAACAGTATACATACACGAAACGTTTTCCCTTATGTATATCTTCTCTACTGAGCCTAACAGAACTTGTCAGCAAAAACATTGTAGTTCCAGTCTAATTATAGAATTCACATTTATTTACTGTAACTACAGAGGTAGCGTAATGGTAGTGATGACAGTCTTATCCAAATCACAGTTCACAAATGCAGAGGTGATCAAGCCAATTACAGAACAATCACGACTGCAATTAAGTGTTAATTAGTGTGGGTTTCTCTCTATGGTAAAGCTACGCGCGTCTTCAGCCTCAATAGTATGATTTTCTCTATATAAAATGCTGCTCGTACGCAGGTACTGTTTATACACAAACACAAGTAGCCTATTTAAGTATTAATTAAAGGTACGTCCTGGCTAGTTTTGCATTTAAATACCCACTATTTCCCCTTATTCATAAATTATTTTTTACAACAATGCATCAGTCGCTCTTAGCCATTATATTAATGGGCTCGTCTTCAAACTGTTATTGTACTATAATGTCTCGAAATAGTTTGCATGACCACGTCTGCAAAAGAAGATGAGGCGATTATTCCCAAACCCAGACGTTGTCCGATAACACATTTACCAGAAGTAAAAGCAGCCGAAGAAACAAAAAGTCAAGCGTTTAAAGTGCAAGAAGAGTATTAGGACAGCCTAACTGCCTGCTAATACTGTTTTTTTTTTACATTTTATTATTATAATGATAAATGCAGTATATTGCGCCAATATAATGCGTTATCAAATCAAAAAATGATCTGGTAAAGAAATAGTTACCTTAGCAATAGTGAACGAATTAGTGCTTTTCCACCTGCCAACGGGTTCACCTCTGCCACTTGATCTGCAGCTTCTGAGTTTCCTTCTTTTCTTGCTTTAATTTAATCTCCTAGTGCATCTTAAGGAGTCAAGTTATGATGAGTCCCAGTTCTTTGGTTCTTTAAAATCCCATTGCCCGATCCCCGTCTTTATAAAGACGGAGACTCTGTCGTGTCACTGGGGGACATCAGAATAGATTCTTCTTTTGGACCAATAAGAGTGATTGGTTGTATGAATAATCTCCCACACACCCCTCTCTCTGTCTCACACACACACACTCCCACACGCATTCCCCCTCTCAGCCTTGGCAGGGCAAGAATTTAATGCTTTTGTGCACGCCGACGGACATGATTGAAAAATAAATACAGTGCTTTGGCCATTAATTATAATAGGGGTGGAGATTTAATTATTTTTAATCGTTTGGGGTCTAACTGGTATTGACGGGAGAGTAAATGAATTTCTATTGTTATGTCAAGCAATGCATGGAGGAAATGCTCGATGCAGTAAGGAATGATACAGTACATTAGGTTTGGACGTTCAGGCAGTAACAAAACAAATCGGTAATGCCTTTATACTTCTTAGAGGGAAAAAACACCCAATACAGAATAGTGAGAATCTAAACCTGTTGCAATTATTTATACTTTCACTACACTTAAATGTTTAATCATTAACCTTTTAATATGGTCTTTTTTTACCAATCATTTCTAAAACCTGATGTCAAAACCTTCAAAAGTGGGACTTAAAAGCTGTAAATATTGAGTCTTCCCTTCCGACAGAATCGAGTCTTTTCTGTGTCGTCAACTCAGTTGTAAAAAGTTACATTTCCTGTATTCGAAAGCACGCTAAAAGCAGAAAACGAAAGCATAATTATTTTCAACATAATACTGGAAGAGCTCATCTTATTCACAGAACATATTTCCACGTGTACAGGAAAGACGGAGAGCTTACACGCCCCATCCTGAGAGAGTTTGTTTCAAACGATATGAGAAAATAGCGTGCCTCTTTTTTTTATCAAGGACCAAAAACCAACTACAGGCTCGCGTCACAATGAAACCAAACACCATTTTCTCAACAAACCGGTTTCCATTAATTTACCTGACCATGAACACAACGTCTCTATCCTTGAATGTATGGAATAAGTATCCAGAAAAGGATGACTATGTATTTACAGTAGCGACCGTATGGTGGAACACAGGAAGCTTTTTAGAACAATATGAAGTTTCTTTTTAATTTTGAACTATATAGACTTCTATCCCTGTTATGTAGAAATGCAGTATACTGTATGTATATGTGTACACGTGTCATAAAGCTGTAGAATTTCTCACTGTCGTCAGTCTAGCAGCTGTAATGCAATGTTATGTCAATGTCACAGACCTTAATTGACACTAATCCTGGACTTTCTAATGGTAATGTAAATAAGCATGTCTAGGCCACCAGACTATAAATTCTGCATTTCTCTGTGTACAGATAAGTAGAATTTCAATGTCAAAAGAACAGTTTCTGTGGGATTTACAAAAACTGTAACATAACTAGTTAATTAAATAATTTCATTTTATAAGTTTCAGGTACGTAGGCAAACTTTTCTGATAAAAGAGAATATAAATATATTCATGATATATATTTATGGTATATTTAATGTATACCAAACCCTGCAACTTGCTGTTCCATGAGTCTTATAATATTTTTTTTTTATTTTATAATGGGGGCTAAGTGTTCGCGTAAAGGAAGATTTTTTTTTAAATCATACTTCACATTTTACATCCACTCATCGTTTGGAATGACCCAGCAGAGTATATGAATCATACTTCACAATGTGAAGGGGGTTAATTAAACGTTGTTCTTTAAAAAGCAATATCAGGCTTTAAAATGACTCTTTTTTTCTAAACAAACACCACTAGATAAGATACTAGAGCAGTACTCTGTATCTGAAATAAGATTCTTCACTGATGTATTAAGAAAAATGCGTATTGTTTGGTAAAGTATATTGATTTGTCAAAAATATTGATTGATTATAACTCTCCAAGATAGCATGTTATAGTTCTGTTGTTCTAGGAATGAACCAATTTGAATCTCATCTCTTCAGTTTTACATACAAGAATTATTGAGGCAATTATATTCTTTTTTGTTTAAATAAATTCATAAAATGCATAAAACAATGTTTTTTCCCCAATTATTTTTTTCTTGAGTATTTTATGTCAGATGCAGTAGAACTATTACTCAGGCAGAGGTGGAAGATGTTTTAAAGTGCAAGCTTTTTGTGGCCTTTTGCATTTCTCCACCCATATTCCTTTAGCAATCAAGCACACCTGCAACTGCTACAGTATGTACAGTACGTCTGTCCTTTAATGTTGCTTCTTCTGTATATTCTGGAGGGCCACTCTCCTTCCTTGCATGTTGGCTTCCTGTACATCATCGTTCTTCAATCTCATGAATGAAACATCCAATGAAAGATGCATTTACACTCATCTGGACAAAAAACTTAAAAAAGAGAAAAGGACTGTCATTTTTTCTGATGAAAAGACATTTTTTTCCTCTAGTGGGCTCCTGATCACAGACCTTTTTCTATTGACTTTCTTGTTAAATCCCTTCAAATCCATCCATCCATATTGCAAGAGAGGCAAAAAGTAACGGAAGAACTTCTCCCGTCCTTCACAGTAACACAAATGTGAACGCGGGAGCAATCAGATCACAAGATGAAAGGGATTGACAATGGAGTGTGATGAAGGAAAAATAAACATGTCAAAGGAACACTTCACAAAGGGTTTAAGAATTAAAAACGTCAGCATCATGCCATGTGTTATAGAAGGAGATTCATCGGTATCTGGTAGTTTTATTATAGGTGATGCTCATTCTCCAGGGGTTAGAATGGACTAAAACTAAAATATCACCAGGGCCTGATGGTGTTCAAAAATCAGACAGGTGAGGTGCAGGATGTGCTGGGAAGAAAGGTGAGGTGTTCCTGGTAATTATTAATGGATCCTTCCTGTCGAAATATTTAAAGCCAGCACATGACTGAAATATTGTGTTGTTGCTGATTTTTTTTAAAAAGTAATGTATCTTTCTGTTTTCAGGGTGATTTAATCTAGGAATAAGCAGTTTCTTAGCAACCTCGACCATACATTCCTATTCTTCTTCCTGATGTCTTGTTATGCTTATTGTATAGTGTGCTTTGTCGTTTTGCCCTTGAACAAGGCTATTCTCTGTACAAGGTATTGTCGAAGTAGTATTATCAAGGCATAGTAAAATAAATAGAAAGGCCACTGATTCATGACATTATTTAAAAAAAAACCCTAAATCAATTGCCCCAGTCTCTTCCAGCAATGGGCACGATTTCATTACATATCAATCTATAAAATGCTCCTTGCAGACAGACTTTTAAATTGAAATGTTCATTTTTAGTTGTTTTTTTTTTAAACATGAAACACGCAGAGGGCAGTACGGTGACACAGTGGCTAGTGTTGGGCCCTGGGTTCAATCCCGGTCCTGGGCTGCTATCTGTGTGGAGTTTGTATGTTCTCTCTGGGTTCGCATGAATTTCCTCCAGGTGCTCCGATTTCCAAAAACATTCTGTTAGGTTAATTGGCTTTTGGTAAAACTGAGTACAGCTTTTTCTGTAAGCGCAATAAAGACAGAGATATACTGTACTTATTTCTCAGTGTTAGCTCTACATCAAACACTCATTCATCCTATGAAGTTGTGATTAATTTAGAGTTTACAGGGCTGCAGTCCAGACAGCTGCACACAGTGTGGTAAAAGCATGGACACCCCAGTTTTAAGATGGGTTATTCAGAAGTTATTTGTTAAATTACAGCTGTTTATAAAGGACAGTTTGAATTGTAATGTTCAGTAGAGTTTGAAAGGATGTAATTGATAAACAACTTTCGTTTAACAGTTAATGTTACCTAAATTATTTACTAATTTGATTGGTCAGATTACAATTTCATAGAGTACCCTCATCTCTACAGCTCTGTGAATGTCTACAGACCAGTTGTAAGTCTCTGCATCTGTCAGACCAGTTACAATGTTCCATAATCTACCTTGTGGTGTGGCACCACCATATTTATTAAGATGCAAGAAACAGGATGTTTCCGAAGTAGGACATGTTAAAACACAAACTTGTATTAGGACTCAGAAGACATAGCTCTTCTTTGGACAGAGAGTTGTGGGTGTCTGGGATGAGTTGTCCTTCCATGTCATTCAAGTGAATTCACTGCAATCTTTCCTGAAAGGCCTGGAACAGATCCTCAACCCAAAGAGTCAGTAAGGACAAATTCAGACCCTTCCTCCTGTTCTGTTGTGCCATTATATACCCTGTATCAAGAGATAGTGCCTGATCACAAAGAGTGTATGGAGGAAAACGTGGAAAGCAGAGATGCAAATGAAAAGAAATGGAACTGGACAATAACCTTAAGTTGTTAAATTGTTCCGTTAAAGAATGAGCAGGAAGCAGGCACAATCTTGACAATACAGTGTCACGTCTCTCTCCTGGCAAACTCCTGTGGACTGCACTCGATTATAACAGCTAGAAAGACATTGCAAAGAATGACCTTAACCTAGGAATACCTTAAAGATATTTAGTGCTAGAATGGCTAGGATATTCAAAGTTAATTTCTTTTGTTACAGAAATGTCTGGACAAACAGTTTGGAAATACAATGAAGCTGACCTTTGTAGTTCGTTTAGTTATGTTTCATTGAATCAACTACTTCTGTGTAGTGGGCTGGAAAATAAATCTGTTTACTTGAACACATTTTAGAGCTCTGCCATCAAGCTTTTTGCCTGGTCAAATTTGGTTACAGTTGTGGCCTCATTAATGTCTCTAACGTCTCTTTCATCGGTCAAATTCTTTGATTCATTTTGTTGTAAGACTCTCCACCTTTTAAAGATTTCCAAATCTCGGAAACAAAAAACATTCAGAACCTGCAACGTTCTGTCAATCAGAAAGGATGAAAGTTAAGTGAGAGCTCAGCTGGAATTAAACCAGTAGACACTGGGACCAGGAAGCTCTGCTCTGCTCAGTAGCTGATGGCTGTTAGCTTCCTCTCCAGTCCGATGCAGTGGTAAACAGCTCCAGCTCACAAGAGTCTGGCCCCTCAAGCCTTCCGGAGTTAATTCCGCGCGGCCTTTTAATTAC